TCTAGGTAAGCAATGTCTACTGCACCACCCTGATCTCTAATTTTTAGTTAACCAATCAAAAAAATCAATAAGATTAGTTTGGCATGATCTCCCTGAAGTAAACCCATGTTGTCTCTGATGAAAATCCATGTGTTTTTAGATGTTCATCAATCCTATCCTTTAACATGGTTTCCATCACTTTCCCCACTACTGAAGTAAGGCTTACTGGCCTATAGTTGCCTGACTATGTATGGGGGGGCTCCAGGGCAATTTTCGCACTGGGGCTCCATGGCTTCTAGTTACGCTTCTGACTGTGTATGTTGCCGTATTTTGTGTGTGTTATTTATGGGTGGTGCAGTGGCTTTGTAACATTGTATGTCTGCGTATGTGGGCTGTTATATTGTATATGTCCATGAGTAGTTTGTGGTATTGTGTAAGATACCTATAAATGTCATCCGTGTATGGGGGCTGCTTGTGAATTTGTGTATGTGGATGATATGTCACATTGTGTGATTCGTGGTGTATGTATTTGTTGGACAGTTTGTGAGGTTGTGTGCTTGTATGTCGATTGTCAGTGGTGTTGTGTTTGTAAGGACTGTGTGTGTGTTTGTGTGTGAGCTATTTGTATTATTTGTCTGAGGGAGAGTTTTCTTCTGCAGCTCTGTGTATATCTAGCAGTGGTTTCCCGGGAGTCCAGTGGTGACCGAGCTGGCCAGGTGCATGTTAAGGGCAGGAGCCTCGATAGCTGCTATGCGGATTCTCGTTCACAAGTGCTCTGAGATCACTTCCTCAAAGTGATGCAATGTTTAAATTGAGGATGTCCCTCACCACCTGCAATCACCACTCGGTTTGCACTAGCAGATGTCTTAAGACCCACTGGAACTCCTTATACCAGAGCCGGTTTGGCTCTGGCAGCCTTGAGTGCCATGCAAAGGCACATCGAGTAACATGGATGGCCCACGTGCCCTAGGATGATGACACCTGGTTTAGGCCACAAGTTATTATATGCATATGAGTTGTCTGGATTCCTAGGCTGTCCATTTAAAGGCAGTACCCATGTATATAGGTGCATTCAATAGTATTTTTAACCATGCCAAACAAATTTAAATTTTTGTGCAAAAATAAAATAGAATTTTAGGAAGAGTCGCATACTGATTCTTTTCGTGACGGCCCTTTTACTGAAAGCTACTCCATTCCCTCTGTCTGACTTTTATGTATTGATTCTCTGTGAGTAAGGGCAAGTCCTGCACGATGTTAGAAGAATACTAACAGGTCCAGTTACTCTCTGACCTGACACAGCAAAATATTTTAACACTGTAAAATTGCCATGCAATAGAAATATTCACGTAAAAGCATTAGCGCAACTCAAATATTGTCTTAACACGGCATCAAGAATACCACACACTGAAGTGGCCTGGGTGCTGTGTCCCTATTGCACTTAGTGCTGCAATGTAAAACAGTGCAGTTCCAGAGAATAGCAATGTTTACACTGCAGCTCTAAGTCTGCCTCCAGTGGCTGTCTAACAGACAACCACTAGATGCGATTTCTGACTAACAGACTTTTGGTCCGGTATCTGACGCTGGACGTTTCATGAGGACATACAGCGTCATGTATTTGATTCAAAGCTTTCCTATGGGGAGGTCTAATACGCAAATGCACATTAGCGCCCGCTCGTCACGGGACATCGATGGAGGCGGAGCCACAACCCAGTGCTGAGGGACAGCGGCACTGGGATCAGGTAAGTAAATAAAGGGTTTATTCCTGGCACTTATAGGATCCCTTTAAGTCAAATGACGTTTCATAAATGATAACTGAAAAAAAAATGGTCTGGAAGCTCAGAGCATTATGGGAAAGCAAACTCTGCCATTAGAAATAGGACAAAACATTTGCTGTACTTTACAGAAGGACACAAACACACTACCTAGTTATGTTTTAAATGATATCATGGGACAGATCAAAGCAGGGGCTGGGTCCTCAGGCTGTACATGAACAAATGTCCAATAAAGAGAATGTTTGAAGCTGTGATGTGGAGAAAGTTTATTAATTAATCCTACAAAAATTTTTTCATTTTGCAAAAAGTTCAGATTTCAATAGAAATTAGAAGGGTTGGGTTTGCAAAGGCTTCGGAAAAGACATTCTTCTCTGCAAGCTGTTTTTAGACATACCTGTAATGGAAAGAATGAATAAATAAATGCATGTTTTTTATTAAAGTATATCTGCATATCTACTAAACAGTTATATTTATGTATTTAAATATTTGGGCAGTGGAGTGTCCCTTTAAAATCCGCACTACACTCACTGCAGGTCTAAACAGTGAATTGTGGATTTATTGGCTACATTTGAATAACTCATATTTTAGTTAAATGTCACATTTCCTGTTTATCAAACTGCATTCACCAAAATATTATGAAATTGTTTTTTGCAGATCGCAATAACCAGCTGTTTATTGGGTAAAACCCTAAATATTGTTTTACAATACTAAGGGTGATTACAGAGTCACTATTTTACATGATTTCAACCAAAAGTGGCTGCTTGTAAAGTACAGGAAATAGAAAATGAAACTAGTCGATAAATACTAAAACAAAAGACAGATGGTCTTCATTGTATCATACGAAAGAAAAATAAGGTCACACAGACCCCCAAAGCAAAGCCAGACCAGAAACGACCCTTCAGTATTAGTTTTATACCAGAATAGTATGGACCACAAATACAGTCCACGTCCACTGCTGGGTGGATGTCTGGTAGGAGATCAGCTGCTAGAATACAAAAAACATTAACATGATTATTAATTCAAGTCCAAATGTCACCGGTGTAGATTATTAAAAATAATCTGTTACCATCTGTCAATTGCATCGATTGGACTACAAAATCTGGACATTGTTCTCAAACTTTATCAGTGTCTAGATTTTACAATGCAGCTGTATGTCTTTGTGTCCAGATGGAACTGAAATTGCTTAAATCTAAAAACCAAATGATAGACTTACAGAAGGAATTGGCTAGATTCAGCAGAGTAGGCCATGGTTTGCCTGCAATATTTTACAATTCAGATACAAACTAATACATTACGAAAACCTGTCATTTAGATAACTAAGTTCTAGGGAGAATGGGTTAACTCAGGAGAGGCCTACATTATTCCGCTATAAAAGTTTAGGCTAATACATGATTATTCTTTAAAAGATATCATTTTAATCTATTTTATTTTTGTAATATATTTTAAGCCCTTGATGTTGGCTGCTTGTGAGAATATGGGTCAAATTCTGTGTTTGACAAACAGGTTAGATTAATATGTGAATTCTATATAATAGTCACATTTGAAACAACTGATTTTAAAACAGACTAAAATTAGATGATTTATTTAAAATAAGCAAATCACAATAACACTTGCCTTTGGTAAATATGAGAATTGCAAATCTGTTTGCAATTCCATTTTTTCAACAGATTTTTTTTTTTCTGATCTGGTCAATAACCACATTTGTTTGAGCAAGGTTATGGCAAATCATGCTCTGCTATGTCTAGAATTACTTTACCAGCAAATCTATTACTTACTGTAAAGAGAATAATTATGTCATTGATTTAGGGGGACAAAAGTTACAAAAATACCATTTATAACACTATTTTTAACAAGAAAAATAAATATATCTCTATTGGCTGAGATTGTAATCTATTGGAATTTTGGAAGCATGTGTGAGGCTGCTGTACAAGCCCTCTCATATAAATTTATATCAGAGCCCATCTAACTTATTCTACATGTGTTCTATACAATATATTGTATTGTCATTGGAACAACACTGGTTCAGCAGGTGATCTCACACAGTGGAGGCTTACCTGCAGAATGCAGTTTAAAAGATACCCTGAATCCCCTCTCACACTACAATGGATTTGAAAGATATCTTGTTTCCCCTCCGCCCCCCAAAATGGATATAGGGGGCTCTATAATAAATACACTTTGGACTATCCATTAAATATATTCAGAACTTTTTTACATTCCATATTTTCCAACTCCCTTCCATCAGTTATATGGGGGTGCGCTTCTAAAACATTCACCACACTGTGTTTTTGTAACTCTGCCTTTAGACTTTATCATTACATTTTTCTATAGCACCAACATAGTCCGCAGTGCAGTACAGCCTAATAAAACATTCAATCATATAATGTTACAGAGCTAGATGTCACAAAGAAATTAAGGGTGGGTGGCGTGGGTGGGGGGCTGTGTTAATAAATCTATAGTTTTCTCTCCTGTTGTATTGTTTATTATCATGTTTGTTTTTTTGCAGAGATGAAATATCTGATGTGATCCGTTTGGTGAGTGACAAAGCCTGGAGGTGTTTATGGAACTTTGTGTCACTTGAAAAAAATATTTTATTTACAAAATGCAGGTCGCTGACACTGAGCAGGTATGTGTTGCTCGTACTAAACTTCTGTTGTGGGTAAAACATTCCATTATACAGTCAGTTCCCATGAGTGTACAAACACATTGTATACATTGTGTACAGAGGGAGTATAATGAAGGCAGCAATCAACATATTTGTCACAGAGGCCATCCTATAATTTCAGCTGGATATATATATTTTTAATAAATACAGTTTTATGATGATGATAATGAGATGGGATGTGTGTGATGGGAGTCACAGTAGAGTGCATCGTCTAGCAGTCGTTTTGGGACAGTGTTCTACAAACCTGCTCTATGTCAGGGTCAAACAGGTGAGCATGTCTTGGCAGTGACATCATTACATTTCTACCTATTGGGATTTATAAAGCACCGACATATGCCATGGCGTTGTACAATGACTGGGACATTGTTACTGATGCCCTTGTGCCCAAGTTGAGATATAATCCCATCATGGGCTGGTTTAACACCGAAGTTCAAAGTTGGCTGTGAATGATGGGTGTTATGTCCCGTTCCTTTGATGGGAGTATCAATCCAGAGCTCCCAAGTAGCCTGTTGTTGCCTCAGTTTGTTATGATTAATGCTATTTACAAAGTGCAAGCAGTGCCTTGAGTCACTTGTACAGAGAATCTTCTCCTAGCTGTGTTTACAATAAGCCAGCAGCCTGTGGCAGGAGGGGAAGGGGAGGTGGGTCTGGGTGGCTCCTATCTGGGCCAGTCTCTGCCCACTCACCATCCCTTCCACTCTTCTAGCCGGGGGGAAGAGCACAGGGCGGGCCATTGGGATCCCATATAACCCCCCACACAGAGCCATCCGGATTAGTGGAAATAAAAAAATAAAAAACCCTTCACAGACTTTTATTCAGAGAAGGCAGAGCAGCTGACCCCCCACCGCCCCCCAAAACATCTGGATTGTGGAAGGTAAGCTAAATGACCTGAGGACTACTCTGGGCTCTCACAGCTCTGGGATTAGTGGCAACCTGTGTGACATTAACTAGCCTTGCTGACTCTAGTGACAGTTATTAGAGCCTCTTGGATCTGTGGACTCCAACTCCCACCAGGAGTTATATGGAATACCTGCTGGGCACTCTCAGCCCAGAGTGTTAGATATCTACCCCACTGACTAACAGCTTCAAAGAATTGAGGGATACATTGCACATCACGTTCTATGATCTGATGTAACAGAGAATGTTTGGGATTATTTGTGCTATATCCATTGGCATTGGTCTTGGTGGGTACAGCTGGCATTCCTGTGACTATTTACTTTTAGAAAGTTTGTATTTTTAATGAAAGCCATGGGAGATCTGTGTGAAGGTTTTTGCAAATGTCTGACAGCTCTAAATCAGCTCATCAACACATGCAGGCTTAATAGCATGCATTAAAAAGAAACCTCATCTGTCCCAGAACCTCTTGGAAGCTGACATAAGCATAAGATCTCTGCTTCTAGAATGTAAATTGTTTTAACAGATAAATCCTGTTACATCTGTGGCTCGAGAATGTCTTCACCATTAAAATATACAATGTTCACTCTAGTTGAAGATTTTGTAATAAATATTGCATTGTATCTGAGGATCTAGAATGAATACAGTTTAAATGATACATTGCATCCAGTTCTAGAAGACATTAAGTATTGCAGATCCAGCTCTCACTGGAGAATGTAAACAGTTCAAGATACATTGTATCTCACCTCTCACTCGAAAATGAACATTGTTTAAAAGATACAAAGTATCCCATTGCTGGCTTTAGAATAAATACAGTTTAAATTATATTCAGAACTTGTGTTAACATTTCTTATTATTTTCCCAACTCCCAGTTTAATGGGAGTGTGCTGATAAAACATCCACCACACTGTGTTTTTGTAACTCTGCCTTTAGTTTTTATCATTATATTTTTCTATAGCACCAACATAGTCCATAGTGCAGTACAGCCTGATAAAACATTCAATCATATAAAGTTACATAACTAGATGACTCTAAGAAAAAGGGGAGAGGGACCATTGTACTTCTTGTGTTATTGATAAATCTATAGTTTACTCTCCTGTTGCATTGTTTACCACCATAATATTTTTTTTTTTATATATATTTTTTTAGTAAACACCAGCACAATCCCTTGTCCCAAAATAGAGAGACAGACTGCAGGCAGGACTTGTACAAAGAATTAGTAATCTGCAGAGTTAATCCCATCCCTGATCATATTTATAATGCTTTTGTTATGAGGGAGGAGAGGGAGAGCAGTCTTTAGTATGAAGCCTTTGGCTGTTTGTGTCAACATGTTGCAATCTAATCTCTTTCCACATTTGAATATTCTTATTTTTCTTTTCAATAACCCATTAAAACATCAGTGGATCTAAAAGTGGTTTCAGAGCCAGTTTGTTCAGGTATTTAATTTTTAAACAGCTTGAAATCCGTATCAGATTTCACTTGCACTGGTAACATTTTAATCACACGTGTTTGACTTGATACAGGGAGAATCTCCTAGAACTTAACCTTAGAACATCCTCAGGGTTAATCCTCAAAATGCAAGTTCAACATGAATCTCAAATTTGAGGTCACTGCAGCCTAACTAGAAACATTCAGTCAGTAATACATTCAGTTTGGCTACCCTGGCCTTAAATTTGAAATTCTCTATGAATTCTCACTTTAGCAAATAACCCTGATTGTGGGGAATAGTCATTGAACGCAGAATTGTAGTGGATTGGAAACCAAAAAAATGAAAATACATTGGTAAAAAGCCCAGCTGTGATTGTAGCTCATTTGGAGAGTTTTTGTCTAATTCGTTTTTGTTTTATTTGTGAATACCACCCTGCTGGTCCAGTTAAAAGGCGCTATGGGATACTGCGGTATTTCATTATTTTGATCTATGTCAGTAGGCACTAAGCCCAACAATAAAAGTGATGCCAATACAAACAATTTTACAAAAACATTCTAACTGTATCAGAATGACGGGAGAACCTCTTAAAAAGCAGTGGGTTCGTAACTGGCCCTGACATATTTGTGTCAGATATTTTTCATTTTATTTATATATTAATTAGAGTATTTCAATTGCAATTAATTCATAGCGCTTGAATTATTAAGGAAAATCTGAAATGAATTGGAGATTTGTTGATTTGGCCTGAATTACGCAAGTTTCTCTTTCAACTTCCCACAACTACCTGTTTATTTTATTGTAAAGCGCTGCGGAATATTCTGGCGCTATATAAATACCAATAATAATAATTGAAGTTTGGCGCGCATGTTTTCCATTTAGCTGTTAAAGGGACACTCTGCACACACAAAGCTGAAGTGCTTGCTGTATTGCTTTATGTGAGTCTGTCATAATCTGTGACGGTTTATAAAATTGGGGGCAGCAGCACCTCCCTGGCTGTAAATCAGAAAGCCGGGGAGATTTTCCCCTGCTTCCAATACATTTACAGAGCTAACAGATCTACAGGCGTGCTAGTGTGTGCCTGCCTTCCCTCATTCTCAATGAACATTGGAAAGCTGCGATTGCATGTGTGCGTGTGTGCGTGTGTGCGTGTGTGCGTGTGCATGCTTGCGGCTCCAGCACAGAGGTGTGTCAATGTGAAACCTCTGATTTCTGAGTCTGGGCTGGGAAGAGTAGGAGGGCTTGCAAAGGCTGCAGACAAGAGATCTGCATCTATTACAAGCTGTTTTTAGATATTCCTCCAACACAAAAAATGCGTACTTATATAATGCATGTTTTCATTAGGGGGCAGACTAGATGGGCCGAATGGTTCTTATCTGCCGTCACATTCTATGTTTCTATGTTTCTAAACAATGATAAAATGTGCCTTTAATTCACTTCAGTTTATAGTTTAATTAACAATTAGCCAAATAGTTTTGTTATGAAGTATTTATAGTTGATATAAATAAGAAGTAAGTTTGTCTGATACTTCAGCGTGTAATGGCAGATAACCTATGTCTAATCATTTCCAGATAATCGGGGTAACCAAACAGTAATTTGTGATGACTTGCAAACTTAAGGAGAAAGTAGCAGACTCTATCCAACTTTATTATTTTAGCATAAATGCAAACCGCTTCTTGTGTCTACATTTTGGTAAATATTTCCCACAATGCATTTTATAACATGTATACAATATCCCAGGGGCAGTTGACCTATGTTTGAAAGTGCCATAATCTGGACTGTACACCCCACAAACATATTGCAGAAGGGAAGGACAAATTGCCATGCTGTCACCATGTGGACAGCACAGATTAACCTGCCTACATAAAAAAAACAATAACATTTTTCTTCTTCAATTTCAGAAATGTTAAGTTCCTTTTTGTTTTTATTTATATAATACAGACTTATATGTCACAGCGATGAACATTAGGTAAATAATGTATACAAGTTAATATGAACATTGTGTATCAGGTAGTATTATAATATCTGGAGGCTTTAACACTTCCCTGTGAGCGTTGTGGAGTTTTTCTGACACCAATATAATTTGACTAAGTTCGAATGACAGAGAATAGCGCATTTTATTACAATGTATATAGTGCCAATATATTACGCAGCTCTTGGTCCTCTGGGTCACCATTAATGTAATGTAATATTAAGGACAGAAGCATAACATCAATGTAAGTGCTAGAATGTCAGGAGCCTGGCCTGTTAAGAGCCTGGCTTAAAGAACTTCCAAAAACATATATTTTTCTAGTAGAGAGAGACTACATCTTTTTCTTGCAAAAACGCCACTAAGTTTTGCTGCAGAAGGCGGGTTGCATTCTCGAGCAGATAGGGGCAGTGTTTTGCAGAAAAGAGGGAAACAGCATGTTCTACTGAGGTAGTCTAGAAGAATGTAAATGTATTTTGTGGTGTACACACCAAACAACCAATCAGAATACAGCCTTTGTTTTGAATAAGTTAACTATAATTTAATTTTTTTTTTTATCTTACTGTAGCTCCCATTTCCTGTTTTCTGTAAAATGTGTCTTTCGAGGCTAAAATTACAAAACAAAAATCTAAGTTAACTCTTTAATGGAGACTTGTATCTAGTCCAACCAGTGTCATGACTGTAAATTCCTCATATTTACTTTGGGGAAAGGATGAAGACAAATCTTCCACTAAACATTCATTTCAAAGTAATAAATACTCAGTATTCAGGTTTATTTATTATTTCACAAAAAATACACAACAGAATACAGAAAATCATTATGTGACTTACATTAGCCATTATTGCATTATACGCACCACACAAACAATATATCAAACACAGAGAAAAGAGGGAAAATTATGCTTTTTAAAATGGGGAATTTTCTTAATTAATTGTCAGTTGCTACTTTTTAGGTATGTTTCGTTTATCTCACGCACTCTCACTAAATATTGTATTTAGAGTAATATGAACATGTCCACACATCACTAACATCATTAATATTTTAGTAAATAATTTAGTTCCTTTCTTTCTGGTTGAAGAATTAGAGGGGAGGGGGTGTACGTGGATCATTCACTCTAAAACATGCGCCGATATATTGGTGCAAACAGTGAATAGATTTATTTTTTTCAGAAATCATGTTTACAGGTATGTAGTGAAAGGTTAGACATACCTTTTAGATGGTGTAATTATAGATTGCAGTATCTATTATGATCACATTTAATTCAGGATGAGTCTATCTTCGGTTAACCAGAAAACTTTTAATCCCGAGCAGCTGCAATATCACAAATGGCCTTAGCCCCAGATAGCCCGTATTATAATAGGAAATGTGATACAATGGAACTACAATGAAAGCGGCAAAACAAAGAAAAAATACAACCTTTTCCCCTATTCCTTTACTTTGTGTGGGTTTTGTTTTTGTTTTTTTGTGCAGTTTTCACCTGCGCAGTATGACATACGTTGTATGTTTTTACATAATCACTTAGGGTTTATTATAAGCATTTGTTATTTTTTTTTTTTTTTTAAGTATTTACTCATGAATTAACTATCAGTAGTGTTTTTTTTTTCCTCTTTTTTTCAAATCAATTTTGTTTTCCTGTGTTCAATCCCGTTTGGTCCTACTAGTTAGGATCTTTTTGGTTTTTCAACAATGGAAGTTGTCTGTTTCCGAACAATGTCTGTCCTCTCGCCCACCTGTTCAGTAAATAACATTCTTGGTTCAACAAGGCAATTTGTTTAACGTTTAACTATTTCATTGTCTTCTCCTGAACAGAATATTACCCTTCATTGGGATGACCTACCCTGCGGCTCCCTCTAGAGGAATGTTTGGCTGCAGCAGAATGATGCCTACTAATGTACTATTTCTTAAATCCCACACAAATAAGCATTGATGTGGATACCTTAAACTATCTCTTGCTTCATGTGACTGTTTGCTTCATGGCCCCTGTATACACAAATTGATAGTTTTGTACTAGATAAAACCATTAATCTGACATTGTAAAATGGATAAAAAAAAAAAATACATTTTAAAACCATTTCCGAAACATTCGCTAATCATGGCATGCAGAGATTTAAAATAGGGTGAAGATATCCTTTGTTTTGCTGCACTAACATGGCTCTCACCAAGTTAAAAGGGTAATCCAGACTTGGACCTCTCGCCTAGAGGGGTAATAGCTACACCTCGCTGACAAGGCCTAAAGTAGGCCGAAATGATTGTCTGGGGTTGATTTATCTCTCGTGCAGAGACAACTTGCCGGGATTTCAGTTGTGTACTTGTCAGGGTGGCGGTCCGGTGCCCGGGACCCAGACACTGTCCGGGCGGCGGTGCGTGGACCTGGACCCATATATGCCCGATGTTCAGAGTAGGAGTCACAGTGTGGAGGTGGATTAGCAAGGTCTGGTGCAGGGTAACCGCACGCCCCCTGGTGTTGAGCACCAGCGTTTGTGCAGCCACATACCAGAACCCTGTTGCAGCTTATGCGGATACCAGGAACTAGGAGCATGGGAATAAGCAGACCTCACAGGAGCTAAATAGGGAGGCTCTGCAGCAAGAATGTATCCAGTACAGAAACAAGGCAAGACTAGAGATAGGCACCAAACATGAAAACAAGGCATAACTAATAGAACCCAGAACTGGAGAAGGATAGGAAGCTAAACCCAGAACATGTACACAATACATAAGGGAAACATGAACATAACATGGGCAGGACAGGACTGTACATGGACTGGGAATACAAACTAAAACAAGACAAGATATAATAGGCAAAACAAGAGGAGAAATAACTATGTACTATATATGAAAAGTATGGTGGTTTAGTTACATTATATGATCATACATTGCATAAGCCTGCCAACAACGCCAATGTACCCCATTTCTGGCAGGTCCTACATTGCCTAATGTTCGCTAAAAGAACCAAAGAAGACATATGTAGCACTTACCTGCAAGAAAGGGCAGAAGCCTTGAGCAGCTGCCTGCAGGAACTCTGAAACAAAAGGAATGATGGAAAACAAACGGGTGTGGCAACATAAAACAAACATTTCAAGGAATCCAAGAGACTGGGAATTCCAGGGACGGAATATAGGAATGAACCCAGAAAAACCCAGCATAAAGAAAACCAGACACAGAATAGAAAACCAGAAAAACCAAGAAAAACTAAACAAGAATTGTAAACAGAGTACTGGGTACCAGAAGCCATAGCCAGACTGATCCGCAGCTAGGAACAGGATGTGACAGTACTGCCCTTATTGGTGGGATCAGTCTGATATGCCTTGGAATTGGTTCTCTCTGCAATGGCACAAGTGAGCAAATAATATTTTGAGACCTGAGCTGAGGATTTACTGAGGGCAAGCTGCTGAGTTCCTCTAAGCTTTTGTCCATTCTGAGAGTTTTCGTATTCTTTGTTTTTGAAGATATCCTTTGACCTTAGTGGTATCCCTAGCACGTGGCATTTGTGAGTTGAGTGTAAACCCAATGTGCTCTGTTGAGGTCAGTTGAAGTCTAAGAGCAATAAAGTCATGAGGAACATAAATTGGTTACACTTTATAGATCCCGGAGAAGCTTGGCAACTCTGTGATCTAAAGGTATGTGATAATCTTCCGTAGAGTTTATTACATGTGCAGATCAGCGATAAGCTTCTTCTTACAATGATTTATTTTTCAACGTTACTTATCAAAGACAGTTTGGTTTGCTTGACTTTAAATCTTGTGTGCCTTCTATTTTGGTTGACTTTGCCTTTCCCAATTCAGAAATGTATCTTTATTGTGGAATAATGCCCATTTCATTTCCAATTCCCCCAATTCCCCCATATCATGACACTACCCCTGTATTACACCAACCATTCCTTCTAACCCCATCTTGTACATTTACCCCAACAATGGGCCTTTTTTCCTTTTGAGATACAGTTCCCATATATTATAAAATGTTCTTCTTGGCAGTAACATCCATTATAATGATATGCCACTCTGTACAGCTCCATTACACTTTGGACATATTCACTAAAACTGAACTGCAATGAATTAAAAATCAACCTGCAATATGTAGGCAAACATCACTGAGGTGGCCTCTAGGCTATCTAAAATGTATCACTCATATCTTCACAAGTTCTCTAAAATTGTAGTGGTTTATTGAATAAACCCCTTCATGTAAGGTTAATGTGTTTGTGATGCAGTGGTTGTCACTGTCTGTTTCCACATTGTGTACAGTTTAGTATCTGTCTCTCTTTGTATATTTTAGTTACTGATAATCCAGCATTCATATTTATGAAATGCAAATACAGTAACATTTGTTATATGCATTATCCATCTGACTGCTGGGATGATGATTCACAGTCAGGGCTTGTTACTGAAAAATACTGAGCAAACATTCTTTGGTAGGCCGGACTATTCCTTGCGAACATTACTTTACCGTACAAGTTGTCTGCAGACATCAGCAAAGGCATCTGGGTTCTTCTGTGCAATGATCAGTGGTTAGGAGTGAGTCACTTGGAGAGCGAGCCCATGGAACGGAAGGAAATTATGCAATTGCATCATTCTTTAAATCACTTTCAGAGTTCTAGTATTGAGCAACGTATCTCAGAGCTGTCTACTGTTATGTTATGTTTCAAACAAAAGCCATAGTTTTTTGCTTTTTGCAATAGGTTATAAGTACTATGCATTTATTCATAGAAACAGTTGTTCCTAGGTAATAAGATTTACCATGAAATGTATTTACAGGTGAACATTAACATGTTTACAGTTGAATATTAATTTGTTTACAGGTAAATATTAATTTGTTTACGGGTAAATATTAATTTGTTTGTAGGTAAATATTAATTTTACAGGTGAATATTAATTTGTTTATAGGTAAATATTAATTTGTTTACAGGTGAATATTAATATGTTTACAGGTAAATATTAATGTGTTTATAGGTGAATATTAATTTATTTACAGGTGAATATAATTTGTTTACAGGTACATATTAATTTGTTTACAGGTGAATATTACATTTATTCGTAGTTCATTTGTTGTTTGTTGCTTACAAGGTCTACTGTAGAATTTGATTGCAGATTACATATGGTTTAATTGGAACAAGGGTGTTCATAGATGGCAGGTTCTTCAATGAAATTTAAGAATGGCTGGGATGTTCTTAGGTAACACAGTCCGCACTGGTTTGTTTATAGGTGGCAGAGAGTATTATGGAAATTATAAGTGACACGGCTGTTTGTACGTGATGGAAACCAAAATAGAATTTGTTGTGGCAAAATGAATGCAAAATAATGTGTTACTCCAGTATTTAGGGAGGAAATGGCTCAGTAAGGATTATATTGTGTGCCTGTAGTAATGATAATTTAGGTTATTGTTTTATTACTGAAGTGGTTTTAAATAAGCAATAGATATTTTTACTGGGGATTTATAGCAAAGACATAAACATCAAAAATGAACAAATCTGAATGATGCTATTAGTAAGATAATAGAAGGTATGTCGTGGCTTCATTCATGTCTGTAATGAACGAAACTACAAGCAACTACTCAGCTTGGCGTACTAAAAAAACCCTACTGACCAGGACAGGTCGAAAAATCCTGGTGATTTCCAGCAACTGCAATTACGGAAAATATAAATTTTGTTTTGCTTTTAAAGCATTCTATATAAAAAAGGAACCCACGGCAGCCAGGAGTGTCTTCCTACAATCATACTACATATTCACAAATAAATGTATTTAACGTAGGTAAATTGACATTTATTTACAAAACATTAAAGGGACATCCCACTTCCCAAATTAAATAAATAAATACAATCTCTGTCCAATAGATCTACCCCCAATGAAAGCATGCAATTAATTATGCATTTTTTTCATTGGGGCTATATCTAAAAAGATCTCTTGTTTGCAGCCTTTGCAAGCCTTCTTACCCCTCCCAGACTTTCTGTGTCTGTCCAATCACAGACTGCCCAATGTAGTTCAATGACAAGTCTTTGTAAGGCAGATGCTCTGGGCAATTGCTGTCTCTTGAGTTAAGTTACACTGAGCTAAACAACCAGGAAGTAAACTGACTAATTGTCTGATTGACAGCCAAGGGGGTGTAACCAGTATAATTTATAAAAGTGTACATTTCTATTTAAATCTACACTTTGTGTGAAATGAAAAAAAGAGTGCACACTTCACACATAAACACTTCAGTCAGTGGTGTGGAGTGTTCTTTTAACGCAATAGATCACTCTGATTTTGCTAGGTTTTATGTATAGCATATTTAGGACAATAGTGGTTAATCTTGGCCCTCCATCTGTTGGTGAACTACATATCACATGGTGCATCTTGGGAAATACATTGGACAGACATGCACAATACCAGGTATTGCCATAACTGCTCTTGCAGTAGCCATTTCCAGAAACAGGCATTGTCAGAGACCAAGGTCCTCGTATTGGTTTTATGAACCAAACATGAAGGTGTCTGTTTAATTTTATCTAACGAGGGTTATAAACTTTATAGAACATCTGAAAGATAGAGAACACACATTTAAGGCATTAGAACACTTTGTTAGCAAATTCTTAACCTTTGTCATGTACAATGTTTAACAGATCTTATGACACATTTATTAACCGCAAACACAGCCAGTAGGATGGATGTCTGTTACACCTAATGAGTGTATCCACATCCTGGCAACATTTCAGTCTCTGGATATCAGAATATAATACAGTAACCTTCCAACATAACCTGGAATGACCTCTCTGTGGCTGGAGTTTATGGTTAGGGTAAGGCTGCACATGGGATCCTTGGGACATATAGATCCTTCAGAGAAAATTAAAAATGCAAACTTTATCTGATTGAATTTACTATGAGCAGACTCTTTGGAACAAAAGGTTATCTGCAGTGATAAAGTGTCTAGGACAGCACTAAGTGCAGTGATGGTTGGTGAAGTTTTAAGATTGTGGGGTGCCAGACACTTCCCCCATAATTTATTTTTACTCCTCCCTATACTTATAGAATACTTATAGATACTTATAGAATACAGAGATACTCATACAATACACAGAGCTGGGCACAATATAAAGATACCCATACAATACACAGAGCTAGCCCATCACAAAGATACCCATAAAATACACAGAGCTGGGCACAATAAAAATAGACCTATGCAATACACATAACTGGGCACAATACAGATATACATATACAATTCACAGATCTAGACAAAATACAAAGATATCTATACAATACACACAGTGAGTGGCGTACAATCAATCCATGGGGTTCCAGTGCAAAACTTATCCATAGGGCCTCCCCAAACCCCCCACTGTCCCCACCGCCACCCCATTGCCCCCACCGCCACCCCATATAGTCACACACAGAGATACACACACACACACAGACAGATATACAGACACATACATAGACACACAGACACATACATACAGACACAGATACACATACATACAGACACACACACAGACACCCATACCGACACATACACATACATAGACACACACATACATACAGACACACATACACACACATACATAGACACACACATACATACAGACACACATACACACACATACATAGACACACACATACATACAGACACACACAGACACATACACACAGATACATACACATACATAGACATACACAGACACATACACCAATTAATACACACACACACACATACAGACACACATACATAGACTCACACACACAGACACATACATACAGAGACACACATACACACACACAGATACGTGTACATACACACAGATACATACAGACACATGCATAGACACACATACATACACACATACATACAGACACATACATGGAGATACATAGACACACAGAGACACATACACTAACACACACACATGCAAAATATTTTAGTCACCCTCCTATTACCTACCTTTTAGGTGCAGGAGGGTGACTTCCCTGGGATCCAGGGGCTCAGGTTAATGGGAGTCAGAGTTCCCACTCTGACTCCCTCTGCTTCCTCCCGAGCAGCTCCTGGTGGTTGCTGGGAGGAGTGACCGCGACAGTCACTTCCTCCCAGCGTCTGACGTCATCAGTCACTCTGATGATGATATTCATTTCCATTGGGTGGCCCTAACAACATGGCAATTATACAGCTGAAACCTCTGCGACCGTGGTATGTATGACGCTGCACACAGCTAGGTACAATACTGAGATACCTATACAATGCACATAGCTGGGCACAATACAGAGATACCTATACAATACACAGAGCTGGGCACAATACTGAGATACCTATACAATACACAGAGCTGTGTGCAGCGGCATACATAATGCACATAGCTGGGTAGAATACAGAATACAGAGATAACTATACAATACACAGAGCTAGGCACAATACAGAGATACCTATACAATACACAGAGCTGGGTTCAATACAGAGATACCTATACAATACACAGAGCTGGGCACAATACATAGATACCTATACAATACACAGAGCTGGGTACAATACAGAGATACCTATACAATACACAGAGCTGGGCACAATACATAGATACCTATACAATACACAGAGCTGGGTACAATACAAAGATACCTATACAATACACAGAGCTGAATAGAGTACATATATACCCATACAACAGGTAGAGGTAAGTAAAATACAGAGAAATAACTCACAGAGCTGGGCACAATAAAGAGACACTAATAACTATCCCAAACAGCCAGGATCACAGTGATGGATTACACAGAGCTGCAATACAGAGATGCCCACACAGTACATGCTTCTGTATAATATTCCAGCTCTCTCAGTCTTCCTAACCCTCTCGTATCTCTCCCTTACATGACCTCACCTTCAGTACTGGTCCTGCTATAATAACTTGAGCTTTGTATTAATTATTTCTGCTTTCATGAAACATGTATACTACTCCGTTAGCTCTCAGCACATAGTGTGCCCATGGTTTAAGCAGCAGGATACTTATAGACACATTTAATTTGCATTTAGCAATATAATTAATCTGCAGTGGTAATATGGAGACAAGTAGCTTACATGGTTAACAGAAAAAATAACCATTACAGATTGAAACAGGTTAAAAGCAGAATCAGCTGAGTCCTCAGAGTCACAGCCCCAGTCCTGCAGTCTGAAGTTTCACAGCATGAGGTCTCAGCTGTAGAGTGACTAAGCCCTTTAAAGAAGATGGTGGACATGTGCAGTAAGATTTATTCAAATTATTAGTGATAGGCAACACAGTGCTTTGTGTTAGAAATGTCCCGGTCCCCATATGACACTTGGTCTTCCCTGGCTTTATATATATTAATTATATAGTTGTGAAAATATCCTTGTTTGATCAGCCCTCTGGTAGTCACTGGGGCTATTGGGGGAAAGAAAAAGATAATATTAAACACTTACATTTGAAAGGGGTCAGGAGCTACTGCTGTGATCTCACTGTGTTACTTCTAAGATGGCTTCTTGCGTGTTGACACTGTTACCACACCTCTGCTGCTATCAGCCAATGGTGGCCCCTGAATAGAGAGACCAATAGCATGACTCATGGACAGCTGGCTTTGCTGCATGAATGACAATTCAATGGAAATTCCTGAAATTCATTCAAAAGGACAATAGGGAAGTGCAAAACCTTCTAAAACATGGCAGATTTTAAAACCGACCCATTTTTTTGACATGCCTAGATGCTCTCAAGTAAGCTTCTCCAAACAGCTACCAATGGGAGAATTGAAACCTCTCATAGAATTAAAGAGGCATTAATTTCCCCCCCATATTTGTTGTCTTACCCTCCTCTCCTTCAGAAATATAATCTATGTGTTTCTAACCTACTGCAAATCATTTTTCACCACTTAAAAACTGGTGGGGCTCTGCTCCAAGTGCCCCTATGAAAGGGCCTCCCGTTGTTTGAGTAAGCTCATTTTAAATCCCAACCTGGCTTCAGGCAGTCACAGAACTACAGACGAACAAGCAGTGATTTATATAGCCTCTCCATCCAATGCAGGCTGCTTTGAGGTTCAAACCACTCAGTGCAGTCAGTGGCTCTGCTGACACATTTGATGTCTGTTTCTGGCATTAGGGGGATGTGGCTAAGAAAGCAGGCTTTTGGTGAAGCATTTTGCAAAACATTCATTTGTGCAAAAACTATCATTTAAGCATTTACAAATACAACATATTAATGAGGCCATAATCTATAATGGTAATATTGATTGCTGGAGCGCTGGTATGTAGCTTCTACACATTGAATGAAGCAATGACAATCCATATTAAACAGCAATTGGAAGTTTAAGATGTCTTTACTAGAACCCTTAAAGCAATATTTAAATGTATTCATTGACGTTTAGTGCAAAACAAAAAAAAACCCAAGCCATTGTTGAGCAAACCCACAGTTCAGGACTCACTTAAAACTTCCATCTTGCCTAGTGTCTGTGTGTCTGTTTATTGAGTACCCTAAGGCCTTGGGTGACGTTTTTAGGCTGAACAGAACCAAAGGAAGTCCATGGTATAGGAGGGCAGTTCCCTCCACATATAGTGTTCATAGGAAATGTTATTGGCATGGTGGCTAGTACAAACAAATGGCTTTTGACACAGAAAACTCTCTCTGTGGAGAGTTATAGTCATGTGTCTCACATGATGTATGGATCTGACATGGAGGTCTGTCCATGCCTTCGAGACCCAGGCTCTGGTTCCCATGAATCCATTGCCAACTGGGATGACCTGTGCTGGCCTCAATACCTTCAGCACAACTTCACATCACCCCACAGTGCTGCCTAACATGCTCGGACCTGTATTCTAGATGCTTTATTCTTTTGGGAAACATCTCAGTGGCCTAGTCAAGGCCCGGAGGACACCTAGCTCAGGCACAAAGCCACAGAGTAGTAGGCTAGCAGAGATCCTGTATAAATCCTGGCTACTGCATCACTCCTGCCATACGTTGTCACGAGGAACCCCACTGCAACTCCTGCTGCTTTTTAGCAGCAGGAAAATGGGGTGAGGCTGCAGCCAACAACTGCTGTATGCTAGGGCAATTTCCCCTCCATTGCCCTCCATGTTAAGTGTACCATGCATTATCAGCTGCGCTTCACTGTCATGAACCAAAGAGGTGGCATCTCATGCCCATGCAGGTTATAACTTGACTGTCATTGCAGACATCGTCCGATTATGTCTTTCTCCGTATTTCCTCTATGGATGGCTTGAATACCTTTTTATTTCAGCATGTAGGCTATGGACAGTCAAGAGTTGCCATCCACGTTTGGATTTAGGACCCAGATGCACACATTATTTCCAACCTACGTGTTTGAGACATAGATGAGTTGTGTTCTATTTAAAATATTTAAAGATTGTAAAGCTTATCTCGGTAGCTGTAGATTTGTCTGCCAAACCATTGATCTTTGTTGACCTCTATGATAAACCAGGCTGGTTCTAATTCTGTAGTTATAGAATTAATTAGGATTAGCAATGATTTCTAAAATTTACATTTGCTCCATTGTTCGTTCGTGATTGTATTTGTAATTTTGGACAAGCAGAGTGTACATAGTTGGCAGTGGATAAAACACGTAACTGATACAACAGCTGCGTAAAAGTAAGCCCCTTTGCTTAAATGTGTTCACTTAAACAGGAATCTGGCGTTCTGTAAAATAAGTGACCGAATCATGTGATGTTTTTTGAGATGACAAAGTGAGTTTGTGTTTTGCTTGAGTAGCGAATGAACACTTTTTAAGCTTATGCAATTTGAAAGAGTTATTACAGTTTTGAATTGGAAACACTTGGCTTAAAGGAAGGGTGTTTGAAAATTTACACTAAACACTTTGGGTGTTGTTATAAATACCAACTAAAGTTTTGTAAAAATCGGAAAACAAACCAGTGTTTGTTGTTTTTTAAAAATTTTTTTATTTCTTCTATGTCCATATTAGTTTGAAACACTGTTTTACCGCGTAATCTGTCTAGTAAAGTAACCCTTTGCTTTCCTTTACAATTAGAACATGCATACATGCATAGTTCTGTACATTAAGATGCATAGTTCTATACAATTCACACAAAAAAGAAAGTTGGACCTCACAGGCATCATCCTGAATATCAATGATACATGCTTATTTATTAGAAATTTCACATTTTTATTTTGTTTAGTTGTTTGAAGTAAAGCTAAGCTAGTCTGCATTTAATCTGGGTTAAGGGCATCACAGTATTTAAGAAACAGAAAACCTGTTTACCAATAAAACAAATTATATATATATATATATATATATATATATATATGGACTGGTAATAGCATTAATTTTGAGTTTAATTTTGAATTTAAGACCACAAGTAGTATTGTGCATGGATGGTAATACCATGGATGGTAAGCTACATAAGCAATTTCAATTGTAGTATTTTAATTACCTGTGTTTAATTTGTTTCTTCTTCTTTTTCCTCGTTAGTTCAGTGAGTGTCCATAAAAGCAGTAGGGATTTACCGATACCTAAACTATAGGCATTCCTCTTTCACAACAGGTTTCACTGACTCCCAAATAGCCAGCAAAGTATTTTCTCTCATTCTCCTGAAAACCAAACCCTCTGCAGGAAAGCCACACAACATCAAATGTCCCTTCTCACTCAATCAAACTCCACTACAATCTCCTGAATTTCTTGGGCCAACATGATCTCCTACCATCCCCAGACTTCTCTCATGCATCCAAGGTCCCTCGAGTTACGCTTCACACACCCATGAGAGTCCCCAGGGTTTTCTGACATCTTTTTAGGACCTCCTAATTCCAAAAGCCAAATGGGATTCTCTCCACCATCAAGTTCCTATTTGACCAGAAGTCTCAGTTGACTCATTCTTTTCTGGATGCATTCTAGCTTTCACCTCAAGGTCCTCCTCCTGAACCAAACAGACTGCTAGACTTAACTCTCATTCTCAAGAAACCACTTCCACCCTTGGTGCAGTCTTTAAGTGTCCTCCATTCCTCGATTCCTCCGTTCCTCCGTTCCTCGGTTCTGTACTATAGATTTTGCTCTTGCCTCAAAGAAACCGCCTTTCAGGTTTCAATAGTTTGACATCGCTTTGTAATTTTGGCCTGAATTTCACAATTCAATGCAGGTTTGCATTTAGTAAACCCTGCCGTTTTTCATTATCCAACATGCAGCTATCTTTTTGTTAATGTTATGCTGTATTTTGTACTTTCCTATTTTTGTCCTGGTAACATGCTCAAACACTCAAACAGTGCTGCATCATCTCATTGTATCTGAGATTTCAAAACACTAAGGTCCATTAAGGACAATAGTCGTGATTTGCTGCCAGATTAATTAAAACACAATAAATTAGTGAACCGGCAAATTGAAATTCATGCTGTGCATCTAGTGAGGCTCACAGGTCACCTATTTGTTACAGTCAACATATATCATGAAAAAATACATGTAACAAAATGAATTGCAAACAGTTTAAAGAGTACAAGATTTTAAAATTACATTTCTAATATGTGATGTTACTAAGAGATCTGCATTTATATTTAAAAAGTGTATGTTGGGCTTTTTAAAATGTACAAACATATATATATATATATATAGTATATATATTAATGGTATTCTGAACTGTAGGATCAGATACAATGTAGAATATTTTACCAAACGGTTTCAAAAATGACTTTCATAATGATAATGATTCATAATGATTATTTCATACAGAATACTGTTAACTTCTGAAACGAAATAGACACCAATCCCTTATTACAATCCCATCAGATGTATTTTTCGTAAAGAAGTCTGAGAAATTCTGAATTCGAGACTAGGACTAGCCTTGTGTAAAGTCAGTCCACCTTAGACTTATTAAAGGAACATTATATTATTAGGAATACAAACCTGTATTTATTGTATCTATTATATTTTTTACAGTGTAGGTGCCTGGCTCCCCCTTGTCTTAAGTATAAAAGCAGTGTTCCCATGTCTCTCTGCTCTCCTCGCTGCTGGTCCCCTTCCTTGTCTAAGATTATAGCAATGTTTTACATTGCAGGGTTAAAACTTCAGAGACACAGACATGTAGTGGTCTGGTAGATTTTGCGGTCCTTTAAATTAAACCTGTTGAAATACTCTAGAATGTTAGAACCCAGAAGTAACTCAATGTATCTACCGAGATATCATGCATACCTTACTGATGCCCAGAGAGGCGGGAACAATAATTAAGTGTTGGTTAGTTTCTCATGCAGAACAGTCCTACATGCTTGTTTATGTATGAGACTGTCTCAATGAGTGAAATCGCTCTAATGGGCTAATGATACAGGTTTCTTTATTTAGGAACTTTTTTAATGGTAAGAGACACTCCAAATCTCATTATCTCTGCAGCTTATTGTACTGTTTACAGTGTACGAAGACTCCACTTTTTAACCAAATTGTTTTCTAGTGGTTTAACAAAAACTCGAGGATTCCTTGAGAATTCAACTCCGCCTCTGCTTGCAGTGGGTCAATGAGAACATTTTACATTATGAATATGTTTACAGGTTAGGTGGGATTCGGACGCACTGCGCCCCTGTGAACCATACCACCACAGGTAAATCCTGCTCATACAAATAATAATTTTAGATGTAAAGAGGAAGTCTTCCCTGATTATCTTACTGCCAGAGGGACAGCACCCATAGCCGGCTCCTCCACTGCGAAACCATAACCACTACAACTTAGTGGTACAGTATGCTGAAGTGCTTATAGTGCTTTTATTGTCCTTTTAAGCATTTTTACAGTTTCTGCGAAAGTCTCTTCCACTTAATTTTTGGCTTTCTGCCTCGTGGCATGCTTATCCACTCTAGCTGAACTATATTCTGTTAGGAAGATGTACTGTCGCTTTAACTTAACAGAATGATTCATTTTCCGCAGAGGAACAAGCAGACGACGCACGTATGAAAAATAAAATCTATTTTTGTAATATTTCCTATGGTTTATTCATTGTTACAAGTTAAACCTGATGATGTGCATATAGATTTGTTAAATCGCAACTGTCATCAAGTTTTCACTTCTTGTTTTTTTTTTTTTTTTTATAAATGTTTATTATATTAAATTAACCCTAAAGATTATTTTTTAACCCGTTCCAGCCCTTAGAACTTGTATTTACGTCCTGAATGGCATGGAGTTTAACAACGTTAAAGAGTAATGGCATGTCCTATTGTCTGTGCCCATGCAGCCCCACCAAATCATACTCCCCTTGCCGGATCCCATCGGCAGTCACCCAGCAGCCAATCTAGCTGATCCGAGTGGTGATTGCGGTGACACCAATATCACATGACTCCGATTGGCAGGATTGGCTGTAGTGGGACTGTCAGGGTTGTCAGGCAAACCCCCCAATATATATAATAAACTAATACAATATTAGAATTATATATATAAATAACATATATTATACACTTACAATAAAAAAGTGAAAATAATACATCCATTCATTCTAAGTGTATTTATATATTATTTTAATACTTACATGTTGGGGGACCTGCCTGACTACCCAGGCAGAAGTGGCAGATAATTTAATTCCATGTGCAAGCTCTACATTGCTGAACACAAATATGAGTTTTTATGGAGCAGTATAATGTATAATAACAATATCATCAGTGAAAGTGCTTTTTGTGTGAATACACCATTTCTTAACTTCTGACATTTTTTTTTATTTTTTATTTCATTCATGTTAAATTGTGTTCCATATATAAATATTTGATGTTAAATTAAAGACCTTTTTTTTCCTAAACAAAATGAAATATAATAAGTGTGGGTGCATTTAATATGAAAGAGGTAAATTATGGTTGAACAGACATATAGCTCCAATTCCAGGTTTTGTTGTGGTTAAGAACTTGGACAATTGCCTCCTTCCTTAAGGTGTTAAAATGATGTGTATTAATTATTTATTTATTTTGTACATTTATATTTTTAGCATGCTGAGCAGCCAGTTAAGCTCTACTGTCTACTGACCAACTGCTGCTCAATCTAACGTGCAGCATGTTCACACAGACCAATCACAGCAGCAGCAAGTTCAGTCAAGCAGCAGTTGGTCAGGTAACAGTAGTGTCTGACCCAACATGGATGTTGAAAGAGATAAAAAAAAAGTTTAGCCACCCCATCCCATCTCTGAAATGTACATTTTCCACAAACTTTTCTAATTAAAGAGGAATTTCAACTTTTCTGGAACTTTGATACAACATTGAAATTACTTATAACTTTTAACCTTTTTTTCTTACCTTGGGATGCTCAGTTTTGTTCAAATTTATATTAAAGGACGTCACAATCCAGTTCAGTTCAGGCACAGTTAGGGCACAAATTGCAAATAAGGAGAAGATATAGAAACATTGTTTAATTTCTCCCCCGTTCTCTGTGTGCTTTCTATAGTCTGACTGTCAGGTGCCGAGAACCGATTTTATAAAAATGAATGACAGAGCTAAGATGGCAGCACCCACTTGCGGTCTTAGAGTTGTGAATTTCTAAATTCAATTATATTTTTTTACACCTCATAAGTACATATTTGATTTACTAGTGACTGGAAACATTTCCCAATGTGTTTACTTGTAGTTAGGTACGTGTCTGATATCACTTTGTTAGCAGAGTTAATAAATAATATTGCTAGTAAATGTGTTATCTTGTATTGTTTTGCAAATTATGAGCCAAAACATTTGACCAAGGTCATGTTCTTACGACGGCTTTCCTTTCTCTTTGCAGGTGGCCAACATGTCGACACAGCTTCAAGACTTCAATTTTTCCGAGGGCAAACCTCTTCTAGTGGAGAAGGAAGAGGTATGTTCGATCTCCTTATATACATATGTTAATGCTAAGATATTTACTGAGTATGGATGTTTTTTGTTGCATAGACAGTGCCATGTTGTTCCAACCTGTCTGTTAGTACTAGAAACTCCACCGATTTGAAAAGTGAGACCTTATCCTGATAATTTCCCCATTTTAGACTTTTTTTTTTTCTTTCATCAAAATGTGAGATCTATAATGTTCTCAAGTAAAAATTACATTTTTTTCTTGGGGTGGAAATACAATTTAGTTATACCTATTCCTAGGAGATTACCAGATTTGGCATTGTATACAGCTGACAGGTCATCTCGGAGCGGGTAATGATGCTTAACGTGCAGGGCTGGTGCAAGGATTTTTGCTGCCCTAAGCAAAAATGTTGCTGTCCCATTCACTCCACAGTGGTCCTTTAGGTTTAATCCCACAAGATAAAACATTGCCTTACCTTGAAGGGTTACTCACACCTCTAGTAGCTGTCACAGTGACAGCCCTAGAGACACCTCCGCTACAATGCCAGGTTTGACTATGAGAAGGGTTGGAAGTGCCACTTATGCGCATCAAGTCCCCAATGCTGTATGAGGATCATTGGATTGGACTAGCGTTGCCCCATCAGTGACATTGAGCGAAGTAAGGGGGCAAGCAGTGCAAATGGAGTCTTTGTGCTTGATAAATGTAAGTATCCCCCGTCCCCCTTTTAAAAAAAATATTTTTATGTTGGGGGGCTTCAATCTATGTAGGGACAGAGACACTATAGTATTTAGAATACAGGTTTATATTTTTTTATTAAAATGGTCCTTTTTCCCCAAATACAATCACTGATACTACATACATATACACACACACACACACTCGCTTACACTTAATGGTCCACACAAACACAATCTGTGACCAATGCACACACAAATTCAATGACTCACGCAGAGTGAGACACACACACTGACTCAAGCAGACATACACTGACTCATGCAGACTGACACACACACACACACACACACACACAGAGATCCAAGCAGGCAAACACATACAGACCCAAGCAGGCACACACAGATCCAAGCAGAAAAACACACTAATCCAAGCACACACACACTGATCCAGACACACACACACTGACCCAAGCAGAGACACACTGATCCAGACACACACACACACTGACCCAAGCAGACACACACACACACACACTGACCCAAGAAGACACACACAGACAGACTAAAGTAGACACACACACTGACCCAAGCAGACACACCCAGACAGACCCAAGCAGGCACACACACAGATCCATGCAGACACACACACTGACCCAAGCAGACACACACAAAATACTGATCCAGACACACACACACACACATACCTAAGTAGAAACACACACTGACCCAAGCACACGTAGATCCAGGTAGACACACACTGATCCAGACACACACAGATCCAAGCAGACACAAACAGTGACCCAAGCAGACACACACACCCTGACCCACACAGAAAATACTGAATCCAGACACACAAAAAATACTGATCCAGACACACACACACTAACACAAGCAGACAAACAAACAGACCCAAGCACACACACGCTGACCCAAGCACACACATAAAAAACTGATCCACACACTGACTTAAGCAGACACACACAGTCAGTCCCAAGCACACACAAACATACTGACTGAAACAGGCTGACACAAGCACATGACTCTTTTAGCTCCGCCCCTGCTATGCTACAGCCCACTTGATCCCGAATACCGGGCGACAGAGCCGGCGCTACCATAAGGCGGCCCAGGCCTTAGGGCGCACCAGCCCTGGGGGCGCAACATCAGGATGACCAGCACTGCGCTCCCCTCCAGCTGGTTACTACTTGTAGCGTGGCCTAGCGCAGCCCAGAGATTCCCGCCCGTGGAGCCCATCATATCCATGCTCTCTGTGTAACACACAGCGCGGCTGGCGCCCAGTGATGGGGCTGGGCTGCAGGACGGGACTCCACAGAGCTGGACAGCATGCACCCCAGGGACAAGATGTATGTATGTCTCTGTATGTATGTCTCTGTATGTATGTATGTCTCTGTATGTATGTCTCTGTATCCATGTATGTATGTATATGTATGTATGTTTGTCTCTGAATGTCTGTATATATGTCTCTGTATGCATGTGTGTAACTGTATGCCTTTATGTCTCTGTATGTACGTATGCATGTATGTGTCTGTGTGTCTCTGTATGCCTGTATGTCTTTGTATGCATGTTTCTGTATGTATGTATGCGTCTGTATGACGGTTTGCCTATGTATGTATGTTTGTATGTGTCTGTATGCCTGTATGTCTTGTATGTACATATGCATGTGTATGTATGCCTGTTTGTCTTTGTATGTATGTTTCTGTATGCATGTATGTCTCTGTATGTCTGTATATATGTATGTGTCTGTATGGCTGTATGTCTCTGTATGCGTGTATGTCTTTGTATGCCTGTATGTATGTATGTGTCTGCATGCCTGTATGTCTCTGTATGTATGTGCCTGTATGTCTTTGTATGTATGTTTCTGTATGTATGTATGTGTCTGTATGTCTCTGTATGTATGTGCCTGTATGTCTTTGTATGTATGTTTCTGTATGTATGTATGTGTCTGTATGATGGTATGCCTCTGTATGTATGCATGTCTTTATATGCCTTCATGTCTCTGTATGCATGTATGTCTTTGCCTGTATGTCTGTATGTCTGACTGTATGTGTCTGTGTCTGTATGTCTCTGTATGATTATTTCTGTGTTTGTATGACAGTGTACCTGTATGACTTTGACTGTGTGACTGAAAAATGATGCCTGTGGCTTGGGAGGAAATACACACAGGTGAAGATGCATTTATTTTTTTTAAAGGAGGGTGAGGGGCGCCAAAATGCATCTTCGTCTGTGTAACTAAAAATACTAGCACCGGCCCTGCCGGGCGGGAGCACCCATGCAATGCTGGCATGACAGGTGTGCTGGGGGTGGGGGGGGGCGGCTCTCTGATCTTTTTGGGCTAAGGTTGAAGACACCGGGCGCTAGTCTGTAGCCATGTAAGTGCTTCCTATCGCCCGCTGCCATCACCTGCAGCACACACAAAAAATGCTTCTTATTGCCTTAAGAAGCGCCCTAGGCGGCTGCCCAATCGGCTATAGGACGCGCCGGCCCTGTTAACGTGCCTACTCCCAATCCTTTTCCTATCTCAAAACACCATGACCTGACCCAATACTGATGTAGCCATGTCTCTTCAAAGGTTGTCACCCAATTCTGGGTAGGTCATGCCTCTTTTACTTCTGGTTGAGGCTGCCTTCTTTTTCTTAAGATTGCCCAGTTTCTGTGTGATTTTTTGACAAGCAGTTCACTAAAGTACACAGGCATGGGTACGATTTAAAGCTGGAGTATCTACCAGCTGGAAGAAAAAAACTGTGGGTTAATATAGTCCACTAACAATTAGAGGGCCAACGCCGGACACATGCTTATATGTTTTCAAACAGTTTTGCAAACTAATCTCCTGGCTCAGTTTAATTGCACTATGATAGTAATGAAGGAAATTCGTTACATTAATATAGTTACAGCAGTTGTTTGCGAAGAATGTAGTATGAGCAAGCTTTGTGGAATCTCTTAGTGCCCCCGACCTGAATGTCTGCATGTTACAGGAATGATCAAATTAAATGTAGGCAGAGAACCGGCGGTGATGCCATCATACTAACGGATGGCAGTCTTCACAGTCATACACAGTCATAGAGGGCAGACCTGCAGGAAAAACAATACTGAGAGAGGAGATGGAGATTCCATGGAGATACCAGAACACTGATGTTTTAAGCTGGATTTTATAGGGTTAACTGCATTTTGCTTAGCTAAGAAAATGTAACCAAGTAAACATTAATATCTAGCGAATCAATGATTTATCACAAGAAGAAGTAATGTCTATCTGTAAGGTTAGAATTTACACATTAGATTTTACACATTTGTGTCATTCTAACCCTTGCAATGATAGGTTTCTATCGAATTTGTTAAAATGAAAATGCAAATATATATAAACGTTTTACATAGATCTATTGAAGGAGAAGTTGCAAACAAGTCGATCTCTTTATTACACTCTTTTTTAAAAATAAATAAATGATTAAGTCTCTAAACCGCAAACACATTGTTGGAGACACATCCTATGAAAGATTATTACCGAGCACGTATCACATCGATTACGACATGTTGTCACTATGTAGGGAATAGAATTTCATCTAATATTTTGTGATAGGCCACAGGTGTAAAGTTATTTCCTCGCTTATCGTGTGAGTTCATTATTTGTTAGAAATATTAGGTATGGAGTCCACAGGTGACATTAAACTTAAATGACGCATGATGACATCCCACAATTCATTGCTTGTACCCACTTGCTAGGAATTTTGGGATGGCACATTTTATTTGGCTGGAAGACAGCTGTGCGCACAGCTGGCTACAGAATCCATATTTGTAGAAAAATCATCTTTCTTCTCCCCGCTGAGTCTGAAATACAGCTCTGAGTTCCCTTAGCCCCCTAAAGACCAATGAAATGCTAAACATGCTATGATATCATGGACGTTACATGTTCATAACAAATATTTAAAAATCCAGACTCTCCTTCTGTCTCTCACTCCCCTATTCACAAATATTATATATTACATTTCCTCCAGGAAAAGGCTGAAAACATTATAATAATTTTCTCTTATTTGTTTGTTTTCTCTTTTAGGGGATCACGGTGTTATTACAGGAATACGAGATTAAGGTAAGATCACGACCTGCTTTATTTATACTGATCAGTCTGAATCCCTATCCATTTATCAGATATCATAATGCTCAGAAAATAATTACAGTTACCTGGAATCACATTTTAACCCATCCAGTAAAGGTGCCCAACTTTTAAAAAATAATGTTTTAACGCGTGTTTGTGAACTTATCTATATTAATAACGATGGTTGGTTTTCTTGTGAATTCCATTTTTTCATTTTCTGCACTTCACTGTTTTCACTGTGAGATATAGCCATCCTGAATTTGGCTATAGGGCAAAAGTAAGTTAGTTGAAAACTTACCTACGTCATCCTGACCAGGTAGGTTATAAAGCTAAAGAAATAGCCAACTGGATATTACATGTACCTTAGAATGCGTTGACTGCCTAATAAGAGGTTGCCTTCAAATCCTGAAGCTGAGCTTACTTGTTACAGCAGACTGAAAGTAAAAATGATTAAAAAATATATTTAACCATGTAACAAAAACAGCAGAGACAGTCACATCATTGTGTGTTGGGGTTAATACTGAACAATGAATAAATAATACCCCCTTTTTTGTACCCCTGTCCATGAACTGTAGATGGGTGGGGATCTCCTGCCATAAACACACCATTTCCACCCCTGATGTACACAATGTTTAAATTACGACCGAGGCTGGAACCCTAGAGCTTGGTGGGGAACTTAGATAACAAGCCTGGGGTCTTTGGACCAAAGTGGGCATTTATTTTCTTGAACTGAGCTCTTGATGCTGATTGGTAGATAGTGCTTAACAAATATAAAGAATAACTTAAAGCAACTTAAAAATGAAAATATGGAGATTATTGGATAGACCCCCATCATGCTTACCCAGCAGTAGCTCGTCAACCTCTGTGAATGAATCGTCTCTAAGAAATCTTATTTAATGTTGAGAAAAGCAGATTTAGATTTTTCTTGTAGTTTTAATTCTTTCTGGTTTATGAATAAAGTGTATCGAGTGACGGGAAATGCTCATACTTGAATCTTCAGATTGGGATTGGTTGCGTTTGGCCCTGCAGATGGTGGCAAATTACCTTTCCCGCGATGTTTAGCCCCCGGCTGAATTTCTCGATTACCTGCCCAGCTACTGCTACAAAGTCATCTTCAGCTACACTATTTACCAGTTTACAGTTAGGGGACGTGCTATAAAAAGCATGTGTTAATTAGCAGGCAGATGTTAATCCGTTTAACCACCCCTCTGTCTGTCAAGCTACAAATCCGTGGTACTTTGAGATCTTCTTAAGAGTGTTAATAATGTAAACAAGTATAAGCAGCACGTACAAAAAAACAGGTTTAAAACCGACCAATATGGGATTAGACAGATTGATACAGTAAACATTTTTCTAAATACTAAAAATATATATTTTTAAAAAGGATGAAAAAACTTTGTGCTGTAAACCAGTGATCGTGTAATGGCAATCTTTTGTGAAAAACATTTCCGATGATTTGCGGCATGCCTTAAGGCTATCTGAGCATCATGTCAAACACAGTCTACCGAACAGTGTCATGAGGATACAAGGCTGTTCCTTGAAGGCAAGGTTCCTCCTAGAAATCACTTTCACCCAAACACTAATTCCTTAACTGTTTCAAAAAAAAATAATTAACCAGCTTGCAAGGAAATTGGACATTTCATGCTAAAATGCAAAAAATAAAAATTATCGAGTCAAAGATTTTTTCAGTTTTAGCTAGAATTTTTATTTATCTTTTCTTCTCCACAGATCAAGTAAAAAGACTAGGATAGCCAAACTGAAAACAAATACAGGCTTACTTGGAGAAATTTAGTTTGAATTCCTGGCAATTCACACTTTAGTAATTAACTCTTTAGAGAAGTATTCACACTTTTTTATGAGCCTCTTATGAAAGCGGCATCCATAAAATTCTGAAGCTGTATTAGAAACGGACATAATTACAGTTGGAAATAGTTGATAACACAGTCTATATCAGACTTGTGGGGTACAATTTAAATATATAATTGTGATTATTTACGATGATTTTCCCAGCATCAAAGTGCCTAAACATGTCACAGAATATGTGCAATATGAAAAATATCTTGGGAACTGCAAAAATATAGAGCAACACATTGACATTTTTATGCCCTCTGAACTCACATGGTCTGTGTTAATTTATTCATCTCTCTACTGTGCCAAGGGAAGGTTATATGTTAATATAAGTATTTTATCTTCTTCTCAATTAGGTATTATTATAAGGAATAGTTTAGTTTCTAGTGTTTTAACTGAATCTTTATGCAGGTTATGCCTTTCTACAATCACTATAGATTATTTTGTCCTTATAAAAGAATATTCATTAGATACTGTGGTAAGATACTATCGTGCGTGGGTTGCTGTGCCATCTAGTGGTCAGATGCTGAAACCTTCTACTTGGTATTTAAAAGGACCATCTTTGTCAATGACTAGGGAAAACCAGTAGTCAACCATAGTAGTGTCAAAGTCTTTTGGAAAGTCTCTGTTATTGTAACTGTGATTGGAATTTAGTTAATGAGTCTAAAATTATTGAAATTAATACTTCCATAGTGTTTTTTGAAAACCAACTCAGGTGGCTTAACATGCTGATATAATTCCAGGTTCCAATAGTATGTTTGTTGCCAAGAGATCAATGAAAAGCAGTCTTTGTGTTTATTCATTTATAGAATGGTAAACGATTGTCAATGTGTCACTCATCGCATTTCGATCCACAGTTTCTTTCCACGTCAGAGTTTTCTAATGTTCTGCTTTAATATTCAACTTTCCACCCTGCAGATATTTATTGTAATTTTTATAATTTTTAAATTTTGAAACATTTTGAAACAGAGGATTTTACAGTTACATAGTTAAATGAAAAGAGACTTGCGTCCATCAAGTTCAGCCTTCCTCACATGTTTTTGCTGTTGATCCAAAAAAAAAGGCAAAAAAAAACAGTCTAAAGCTCTTCCAATTTTGCAACAAACTAGAAAAAAAATTCCTTCCTGATTCCAAAATGGCAGTCAGATGTCTCCTTGGCTCAAGCAGCTATTACCCCATTAATTAGAAATTATATTCCTGTATGTTATGTTTTTGCAAGTATTTATCCAATTGCTGTTTAAACATCTGTATGGACTCTGATAAAACCACCTCTTCAGGCAGAGAATTCCACATCCTTATAGTTCTTACTGTAAAAAAAAACCCTTTCTTTGCCTTAGATGAAATCTCCTTTATTCCAGCCTAAATGCGTGACCTCATGTCCTATGTATAGCCCTGTTTATGAATAGATTTCCAGATAATGGTTTGTACTGGCCCCGAATATATTTGTATAATGTTATCATATCCCCTCTGAGGTGCCGTTTTTCCAAACTAAAGAGATTTCATTTTTTTTTAACCTTTTTTAAATAGAGAGTAAATTAAGTAGAAGGTTTGGGTTATTCAGTCCTACATTTTTGTCAACAAATTCAGTAGTTAAATAACTGAGACAAATATCTCTAATCTCAACGCAATGATCACAGTTATGGTTTTTCAAGATTCAGAGCACCTACTGATAATGGAATAGAACCAGTTCCTGCTTGAAGGAAAACTTATAAAGTTTCCAAAAGTTTGACCAAAATGAGTACCACTGACATTAGTGTAGCTGCTGAGATGCTCAATCCAGATAACCCACCTTAGTTTACTTCTCATTTCTTTGGAGCTTTAATACTTTAATTGGGTTTCAGTAGACCTTTTAAGGAGATAAGCTGCACCTTACAAATGCCTTGGCAAAGTCCAAGTAGATCACATCCACTGCAACACCCTGATCTATACTTCTACTTACTTCTTCGTAGAATGCAATTAGGTTAGTTTGACATGACCTATGTTTCATAAAACCATGCTGATTATTGCTAATAACAAAGTTCTTCCCAATGAATTCCTGAATATTATCCCTTAATAGCCCTTCAAATATTTTCCCAGTTACAGAAGTTAAGCTCACAGGTCTATAATTTCCAGGCAAGGATTTTGAACCCTTTTTAAATATAGGAACAACATCTGCCTTCCTCCAATCCTCCGGTACAACACCTGAAACAAAAGAATCTTGAAAAATTAAATACAGAGGTTCACTTATTTCCCCACTTAGCTCCTTAAGTACTCGAGGGTGAATACAGTCAGGCCCCGGAGCTTTATTTATTTACTGGAGTTTGATTGAAAGTAGGCTATTTAAAGTAGTCTCTTTTAAGTAGGAGTTAAAACAACAGGAGTTTGTTGGTGAACTGGTGGACTGTGGTTGGTATTAGTTAATACCAAGTGGAAAAGAAAAGCAGGTTTAAATTTTAGTATTTGTTTGGTTTTTTGTTTGTTTTTTTCTATCTTTTTGGGTTTTGTTTTGTTTGTATTTTGTGGGGGGTTTTTTTGTTTTTTTTTTTACTTTTACCCTTTTTAAAAAAAAACAAATTATTTCTCCTTACTGTTTTGATTTATTTTAATATTTTGTAACTTTTTTCCCCTTTTCATATATATATATTTTTTCTCTTTGGATATATTTAAACTTTGTTCCTTTTTTTTTTCTTCTATATTTTCACCTTGCTGGTATTATTTAAAACATTTTCCCTCCCTTTTTTTTTTTTTTTCCCTCTCTTGTTGTTTCTATTCCCCTCCTTGTGGGTGCTGCTGCTGAGCTAATTAGGGGGAGTGCCCCTTAATTTCCACCTGTGTGGGATTTGTATTGCAAATATAAACCCACTACTGACTCACAGAGCTTGCTCACTGGAGTTTGCTTGAAAGTAGGCTATTTAAAGTAGTCTCTTTTAAGTAGGAGTTAAAACAACAGGAGTTGAAACTACAAGGGAGTTTAAACCAAGAGGGTTAACATTTTTTTTTTTTTTTCTCACTTGTGTTTTTTGTTACTGGGGATGAGTGCTAGCAAGATTGCAAATTTAACTCAGTGCACATCATGCCGCATGTATGCATGCCTGGATGGTTCTGTCCAGGGTCCATACCTCTGTGGTGGGTGTGAGCGAGTGGCATTTCTGGAAGCTCAGATTAGAGATCTGGAGAGGCAAATTGTAACACTGAGGGAGATTGACAATCTTGAGAGGAGTCTGCTGCTCACTGAGCAGAGTTTAGTGGGGACAGGTAGTGGAGAGGGAGGAGATAAGACAGATGGGGAACAGGCACGTAGCTGGGTGACAGTGGGGAGAGGAAGCAGGGGGGGAGGGAAGAGAAAAGGTTTAGCTAGTCCTGATCTCATGCAGCCTAACAGATTTGCCCGTTTGAGTGAAGATGTTGGGAGCATCAGCTCAGGAGTAGCTGTACTGCAGGAAGCTGTTCCTGCTAACAGCCGTGGAAACAGCCCCTCTAGTACGGGTGGGGTTGAGAGGGTAAGGAAGGCTAGACAGGTTGTGGTGGTAGGGGACTCTATTATTAAGAGAGTAGATAGGGTAATCTGCCACTCTGATCGACTCAACCGGACAGTTTGCTGTCTCCCGGGTGCTCGGGTCCGGCATGTTGCCGACAGAGTGGAGGGATTATTGGGAGGGGCTGGAGATGACCCAGCTGTCATGGTCCATATTGGTACCAATGACAAAGTCAGAGGAAAATGGAAGGTCCTAAAGAATGAGTTCAGGGAACTAGGAAGTAAGCTTAAGAAAAGGACCTCCAAGGTAATTTTTTCAGAAATATTACCTGTGCCGCGCGCTACAGCAGAAAGGCAGCGGGAGATTAGAGAGGTCAATGCGTGGCTAAAGTCTTGGTGCAGGAAAGAGGGTTTTGGGTTTTTAGAGCACTGGGCCGATTTTGCGCTTGGGTACAACCTGTATAGTCATGATGGATTGCACCTAAACGGAAGAGGGTCTGCTGTGCTGGGGGATAGGATGGCTAGAAGGTTGGAGGAGATTTTAAACTAGTGGTAGGGGGGGAGGGTCAAAGCAATCTAGAAAATGGAGATATGATGGAAAAGAGATGGGCTTTAGCTCAGAACAAAGGGGGTGGAGATGGGGGGAGGGGAAAACTCAGAACAGAGGAGGTATGTAATATTGATAATTCACAAAAAGTACAAAAGACTCATGATAATATTAAATGTATGCTTACTAATGCAAGGAGCCTATATAACAAAATGGGGAACTAGAGGCAATAGCATACACTAAACAATATGATATAATAGGCATAACAGAAACATGGTGGGATGAGACACATGACTGGGCAGTTAATTTAAATGGGTACACGTTATTTAGGAAGGATAGGAAAAACAAGAAGGGTGGTGGGGTATGTTTATATGTCAACCGTGAGTTAAAGTCAAATCTTAGGCATGTGGAGTGTGACGAGGAAAAGGTGGAGGCTTTATGGGTAGATATCTGCTTGGGGAAAACAAAGGGAAATCAATTATTGGTTGGGATATGTTATAAACCACCTAATGTAAATATTAATGAGGAAGAACAGCTGTTAGAGCAAATTGAGAAAGCTGCAAATCGAGGTAACACGTTAATTATTGGAGATTTTAATTATCCAGACATAAATTGGGAAAGAGGGACTAGTACTTCAGCAAGGGGAATCAGGTTTTTGAATGTGTTAAATGACACCTTTATGTCACAACTGGTACAAGCACCAACTAGACAGGATGCTTGTCTGGATCTTGTCATAACAAACAATGTTGATCTTTTAACCAACATTCAAGTAGGGGAGCATTTGGGAAATAGTGATCACAATATGGTAAATTTTGAAATAAACTCAAAAAAGCAAAAGCAGGTGGGGTATACTAAAACATATAATTTTAAAAAAGCCAATTTCAATAAGATTAGGGCAGCTCTACAACATATCGACTGGCATAAACTCCTTAGTGATAAAAACACTGAGGATAAATGGAAACTATTCAAACATATATTAGAAAGGTACATTTCTCAGTATGTACCATTGGGTAATAAATATAAAAGAAACAAATTAAAACCAATGTGGCTTAGTAGAGAAGTAAAACAAGAGATTAAAAATAAGAAAAGGGCATTTAAAGCATTTAAATCAGACAAATCAAAGGCATCCTATTTAAGATATAAGGAAGCCAATAACGCTTGCAAAAAGGCAATTAAAGTGGCTAAACTAGAAAAATGAGAAATTGATAGCTAAAGAATGCAAAACCAACCCCAAAAATTCAAGTACATCAATTCTAAAAAAACAAAAAATGAAAGTGTAGGTACACTTGAAACAGAGTTGGGTTTATTAGCTAATGAAGACCAGGAAAAAGCAGAAATTTTAAATAACTATTTTTCTTCAGTATATATTAATGAGGATCCTATGGCAAGAGATATGCAAATGTTTGCTGCAAAAAACTTGCAAATAACTTGTGACTGGATAACTCGAGACAAGGTGCTACAGCTATTAAAGAAAATTAATGTAAATAAAGCTCCGGGGCCTGACTGTATTCACCCACGAGTACTTAAGGAGCTAAGTGGGGAAATAAGTGAACCTCTGTATTTAATTTTTCAAGATTCTTTTGTTTCAGGTGTTGTACCGGAGGATTGGAGGAAGGCAGATGTTGTTCCTATATTTAAAAAGGGTTCAAAATCCTTGCCTGGAAATTATAGACCTGTGAGCTTAACTTCAGTAACTGGGAAAATATTTGAAGGGCTATTAAGGGATAATATTCAGGAATTCATTGGGAAGAACTTTGTTATTAGCAATAATCAGCATGGTTTTATGAAACATAGGTCATGTCAAACTAACCTAATTGCATTCTACGAAGAAGTAAGTAGAAGTATAGATCAGGGTGTTGCAGTGGATGTGATCTACTTGGACTTTGCCAAGGCATTTGATACGGTTCCTCACAATAGGTTAGTTTTCAAACTAAAAGAAATTGGTCTAGATGAATATTCCTGTTCTTGGGTAGAACATTGGCTTAAGGACAGAGTAAATTTTCAGGCTGGACAAAAGTGGCAAGTGGTGTCCCTCAGGGTTCTGTTTTGGGACCACTTCTATTTAACATATTTATAAATGATCTTGAAATAGGCATTGAAAGCCATGTATCAGTGTTTGCAGATGACACAAAACTTTGTAAAGTAATAAAATGTGAGCAGGATATTGCTTTGTTGCAGAGAGATTTGGATAGATTGGGGGACTGGGCACTAAAATGGCAGATGAAATTTAACATAGAGAAATGCAAAGTTATGCACTTCGGGGTTAAGAATGCACAAGCAACTTACACACTAAATGGTAGTGAATTAGGGATAACCACACACGAGAAGGATTTGGGCATTGTTATAGACAACAAATTAGGCAGCAATATGCAATGTCAATCTGCAGTTGCTAAGGCCAGTAAGATTTTGTCATGTATAAATAGGGGCATAAATTCTCGGGATGAAAATATAATTTTGCCTCTTATAAATCGCTGGTAAGACCACACCTTGAATATGCTGTGCAATTTTGGGCGCCTGTTCTAAAGAAGGATATCATGGCACTGGAGAGGGTCCAGAGACGAGCTACAAAATTGATAAAAGGAATGGAGCATTTTAGTTATGAAGAAAGGTTACAAAAATTAAATCTGTTTCATTTGGAAAAACGGCGCCTGAGAGGGGATATGATAACTTTATACAAATATATTCGGGGCCAGTACAAACCTTTATCTGGAAATCTATTCATAAACAGGGTTATACATAGGACACGAGGTCACACATTTAGGCTGGAAGAAAGGAGATTTCATCTAAGGCAAAGAAAAGGTTTTTTTACAGTAAGAACAATAAGGATATGGAATTCTCTGCCTGAAAAGGTGGTTTTGTCAGAGTCCATACAGATGTTTAAACTGAAATTGGATAAATACTTACAAAAACATAACATACAGGGATATAATTTCTAATTAGTGGGGTAATAGCTGATTGATCCAAGGAGACATCTGACTGCTATTTTGGGGTCAAGAAGGAATTTTTTCCTAGTTTGTGGCAAAATTGGAAGTGCTTCAGACCAGGTTTTTTGCCTTCTTTTGGATCAACAGCAACAACATTTCTGAGGAAGGCTGAACTTGATGGACGCAAGTCTCTTTTCAGCTATGTAACTATGTAACTATGTAACATATTGGGAAACTTTCTAGAACTATCTATTCTCTGAAGCTCAACTTTTGCAGTTGCTTTGGTTTATTTACTGATGTAGGGTATATACATACAACTCCATACAAATATCCCCACCATCACGTGGTTTGTAAGGTGCTCTGAGTATAATGCTTGATGGTAACTCGGAAAGGATACGATGGGATTAATCAATCATTGGTTTAACTTTGCATTTCTGAAATGGGAATATACTGAGACAAGACAGTCAAGACAAGAGACACTATAGTCACCAAAACAACTTTAGCTTAATGAAGCCGTTTTGGGTATAGACCATACCCCTGCAGTCTCACTGCTCAATTTTCTACCATTTAGGAGTTAAATCACATTGTTTATGATCCCTAGTCACACCTTCCTGCATGTGACTTGCATAGCCTTCCTAAACACTTCCTGTAAAGAGTCATCTGCAGTTTATCCTTCCTTATTGCAAGTTCTGTTTAATTTACATTTCCTTATCCCCTGCTATATTAGCTTGCTAGACCCCATAAAAGCCTCCTGTATGTGATTAAAGTTCAATTTACAGAGAAAGAGATACAATTGTTTAAGGTAAATTACATCTGATTGAAAGTGAAATCAGTTTTTTTTTTTCATGCAGGCTGTGTCAATCAGAGTCAGGGGAAGTGTGACAAGGGCTGCATAAACAGAAATAAATTGATTTAACGCCTAAATGGCAGAGAACTGAGCAGTGAAACCTGAGAGGCATGATCTATACACTAAAACTGCTTCATTAAGCTAACGTTGGTTCCTTTAAAAATAGATTAAATTGTTATGGCCAGTAACTTGACAAAGAATTGAATGAATCTCAGAAACGAGCAGTGTAATAGTACACCTCACTTGTATTTTATTTATCTATACATAACAATGTTTAGCTGTTTGATTCTCCACTGAGAGCATCTAGAAATGTAGGTTATTTTGACCTCTCAATGTGTTTCCCTTCCTTGGGAATGTCTGGCATTCTGATTAAAACAATGCTACTGAGGATAAAGGTTAGTCTCTTCTAACAGATGGCATGTCATCGCCCCTTCAGATTACCAAGCCAGACTCTTTCCTGAAATGGTGTTTTAATGCAAATCGGTGGTTAAAGACCCTGTTTCACTAATAACCCTGACATATCCTTGTTATGTGAAGCCATCTGTTTGCTGTCCCTTTACTGGTTATTGTAATATTAATTACCCCAATAGTTTCTTAAAAAAGGACCAAACCTTACCCTATGTTTGCATTAAAACTGTCTAGTGTCGTGGCTCATAATTCAAAAGAAAAAATAATAGGAATTCAGTGTTAAGATATTGTGCCAAAATCAACTAGAGTCTCTAATCTCTAGGATCTTTGATATAGCAAATCACAAAACAATAAGAGTTAATGGAATGAGTGCCGTTTACCGGGAAAGCTGCATTGAGATTTTCTCTCACCTTAAAGTGTTCTTCAGTGTATATATACATTACTATTGACCAACTGTTACTGATGCACTTCAGTGTATACTCACCAGAGTACCTTCAATGTTTCCAGTTGGTAATTGGTCACAGCGGTGTTTGTGTTTAGATCCAGCATCATTTGTCTGACCTGGCCTTAGCATTTCTTGGTTTCCACTGTCTAATACCTGTGCTGACTCTCTGATTGGTGTGTCTATATTGCTCTCCTATGCCAGACTTTTTCTGACTACACTGTTGGTGTCACATTTAGACCCTGTGGATTATCCACAAATGTGGGGCACTATAGGCCCCCTCAGCTTGCTTAAATACTTGAAGTGTGAAGAGTGTGTCCTTTTTTTCATTTAACAAAATGTGCAGATTTCAATAGAAATTGACACTGTTATAAAATGACTCTGTTAAATCCCCCTGGCTGTCAATCAGACAACATGTCCTGTTACTTCCTGGTTTGGTTAGCTCAGTGCAGGTAAATGCAAGAGGCAGCAATTGCCCAGAGCACCTGCCTTGCAAAAACTTCTCATTGAGCTATATGGGGAAGTCTGTGATTGGCCAGTCACAGAATGTCTGGGCGGAGTTAGCAGGAGAGTGCTTGCAATGGCTGCAGACAAGAGATCTGCAGCTCATGCAAGCTGTATTTACTTGTACCCCGAATGAGAAAAAAATGTGTGTTTTCATTGGAGGTATGTCTGTTAAACAGTGATTTATTTTTGTACTTGAGCAGTGGAGTGGCCTGTAAGTCTTGTTTTTGACCACTAATAAAATATTACAAAGAGGCTTCACTATAAACATTAATTTTAAGAAGAAAAAAAAAATCTAACTTCGGTCACATAAATAAATAATAGGGAAATTAAATAATAAAAGATTTTTTTACACCATTAAACTAATTGTGAATGAGTCACACAGAACACTATCTACAGTGTTTATGAGTTTAAACAAGACGCATATAAAAATATAAATAAAAAGTTTGACTCTAAAATGGATGAAGTTAGGTTTCCAACATAATATATTGCATTTTTGCTCATTATTGCTAATCTGCATGATTTTACTATTTGGTGAATCGGTTCTTGCTAGAGGTTGTATATAGAAAGGTGCAGTGTGTTAGTAGCAGCAGATAAATGTACGTGTTTATCATAGTTGCATTGTTACAGTGTATTCTGCTAGACCTTAGTTTGCTTCAGAGAACAGTTTAGAAAACGAAGCCTATCTCCTCAGGCATTATGTCTGCATTCCTCTCACTTAATGAATCGATGTGGCATCAAATCCCATTAGCTAGTTACTTTATAACCTCAGCAGTATGTTATGTAATTCATAAAAATACATTGGAAAGCAACAAAGAGTACCGCGTCTGCTTGTTTATACTGTTTGACATGTTCCGAGCTTGGAAGTTGGCATATAGGAATGTTCAAATTACAATAAGCAAGATACAAATATGCATTTATTATTATTTTATTATTTTGCTGAGTCTCTAAAATACCTTTTTTGGCTAAACTGAAGTGTGTGTGTGTGTGTCAATAATATACAACATTATATAACGGTATTAAATAATTGATTATTGGATCTTTTGCAAATTCTAGCAATACAATAAAATCCTCACATTATTCTGGAAAAAGTCCCAAAATGTGCTACTTTGATTACCCAGACTCATCTACAGGTTTCAAAAATGTTTGCTTCTTTCCTTAAAGGTTTCATTTCAAATTTTTCTATCTAACTTTATCTAGTCTCATACGGGTGTCTGCTTTGCACCTACAGGTAATGAACAGAGCAAATAATGTCTTCTAAATTAAACACACTCTGCTAAGATAGGTTTTTAAATATTATTTTGATCATAATGTTCCTTTAATACTCAGCAGGCTATAAACAATCTATCAAACACAATGAATATCTATGATTTCACACCTAGTACTCGTGATGTAGAAATGTAGATTTTTATGTCAGATAAAAGCCAACTGCCCTCAATCCCTGTCTGGACCAACACGGACTTTGTCCTTGACATGTGCCTGTTTTATGCTCTCTTGAACTCATCCACGGTTAATCTTGACCCCCTCTGCTGGAAATCTTCTCTTTAGATCCTGAAGCTCCCGGGATTTGGAATCCCTCTTTTCTACAAGTGTCCTGATAGAATTATACATTGCTGGTATTCCTTAGTATGTAAATGTAACTTCTATTTGAATCTAAATCGTCACGTGCAGTCCTGTTAAGCTAAATGAATTAGGTTAGGATCTGTCATCATTTGGCAATGTCTGACCTTGCAAACAAGCTATTTATAACTAAAATATGACCTATCGTTAGGCAGTCTAATACAGAAACATTTTGGTACCGGATGCTGTGTTAGATCCTTATTGTATTTTTGGTTTCTGGCATGTGCATGGGTTAATGCAGTCACATCTCTAATTGTATTATATATTTCTTTGAAGTGCCCTGTTGGTACTTTGACAAGGTATTACAACACAAACAGAGAATATGAGAAGCTTAGAGAAACTCAGTCGCTTGCCCTTCGGTTAGTCCACACTCAGGTCTTAAAAATTTTTTTTTCTCACTTGTGCCATTACATTGTGAGCCATTACCATTTGCATCTAAGTGGATGTAAAGCAATTAAATCCAGAATCCACCCATATTATATATATCCATTTTGTCAAACTAAATATTAGATAATATTACATGTAGACATGAGGTTACCTCCACCATTGTCATCCTGTGGATGCCATTGATGAGATATTTGCAGCCATTGGATCTAGCTGTATTCAGAGATGATTTTGACTGTTGGCCGGCATACGACGTGGCAGCTATTTTGCACACAGATTACATTTGTTTTGCAGCATCCACCTCAGGAGCTGCTCAAATTCCCAGCTTATGGTAACGTTCATTTACGTTATGCCGTTATGGATTAGTACTTTTGGAGAGCTGCCAACACAGTTGGCACACATCGGTTTCTTGTCTTGACCTTGTTTATTGTCTGAGCTGGATTTGAAAAGCATTTGTCATAACATGAACCTTTGACACAGATCCTGTTTAAGAACATCCCAACTTAGCGTGTTGCGTTTGAAATGCATTCTGGGAGTATCAGTGCTTATGCAGAATAGCATCTGGTCTATAAAACCCTGTTATGTTTTCACCTCGCAATGAGTTGTGGATGGTACGGGAAATATTTAGCTAATCTCTTATGTATACAATGGTCCTGGATATGGACAATTCTGTTTTCTACACAAGCAGTGAGGTAATTATAATTAAAATATTATTTGTCTGTCTGTATTTCTGTCTATCTATCTATCTATCTATCTATCTATCTATCTTATAGGACTTATAATATCTTTACAATATTTGGGATGATTATTAAAGCATTTTACATGCTGACAGTACATCTGACTTTGCAGTAAAGCAGGGATGTGCAAAACATAGATCTGTGTGTTGCAAAACTACACCTCCCATAATGCTTTGCCAGCTGGGGATCTACTTTTTGTCCCTTACTGCAGTTGTGTTGCAAAAGTTTTGATTGACATTTTGTGACAGTAATAATGAGATGAATGTCCTATAAACACAGCAATGACACATTGGATTTCTGCATAAAAAGTGTATACATGCACTTTTTATGCAGAAATCCAATATATATATTTCTCTCTCTCTCTCTCTCTCTCTCTCTCACTATTTACAGCTCTGTTTTGTGATTTATACATAATGGCCTATTCCTATGTTGAGGCCATTATTCAATACTGTTCAATATGTTGATGCTTTATAAATAAATTACTTTATTAGATGAAATGCATAGAAAATGCATTGCTGCCTCTACCCCATCCTAGTTCAACTTTGTTTATCCTGATAATACACTGGTGACTCCATTTTGAATCCATATTCTAGCAAGCCATGCCTCCATTCATTACACTGACAGTTAATCTATAATTCCATGGAGACCCACGCTAGGACCTTTTTTACAGTTTGTTAATTCTACCCTCAAGGTTTTAATGTAATCAAAGCCTTTTTATCAGCAACAAGCTTGTTCCCAAACCACGATAAATTATAATGGCCCAGAAAAAAAAGTATATTTTATTAACCACTAGCTCTGCATCAGAAAGGATGGCAAACAGAATTTGGCATTTGAGGATAATAAATACTGGCTCCATAAAAGCAGTAATCTTAAGACCGGAATTAATTTTCTATTAGGTTATTTATCGTTTGGCTTCTACGCTATATTTTATTTTTTTAGTATTTTTCTGAAGACGGCACTACGTAAAATTAAAATAAGGGAAACATTATATATATTTGCTTGATATACAAGTCTATGTATATAAAAACCCAGACACACGTTAAATCCGGTAAAATCAGCATTGATTGATGATATCGATGGCTTTCAGTACAGTTTATCCTCCCAGTTGTTGTCCCAGTTACTGTAAATTTTGCAGGATTTAAAGATTTGTTCCATGTCAATAACTCATACCGTACAATTGTTCAACAGTCGGGTAGATATGATTTTAACTTAGTCACCTCACCCAAGGATGTAATCTGGGAAAAAATATACTTATATTTCACTTAAATATATTTTGGATACATCATTACTGAGCATGTGAAGTCAGCCTAACCAGGTAAAGTGAGTACTACAGGGAATTTGCAGTAAATTTAAAGTAAAAGTTAAATTTTAAGGCCAAAGTTGGCGAACTAAACAGAGAACTAACTTGGAGGATTTTGCTAAATTGGCTATTTTGGCCTTTTGTTTGAAAATTAACTTTGAATTCACTTTCCTGCAGATTCCACTTTAGTGGATAACTCTGTTTGTATCTGTTCAGTGTTGTTGATCCCAACCAAGGAAGCCGTATTGACATATTAATAAAAAATAAAATATTAAAGGATCACTATAGCGTCAGGAACACAAACCCGTTTTCCTGACACTATAGTGCCCTAAGGGTCCCCTCACCCTCAGGGTCCCTCTCCCTTGGCGCTGAAGGGGTTAAAACCCATTCAGCCACTTACCTTAATCCTGCCCCGGACTCCATCGGCACTGGTTAGCTTCCTCCCCTGAGTGAAGCGGAATGCGCATACGCAGCAATTGTCGCGCGCGCATTCATACTGTCCATAGGAAAGCATTTCTCAATGCTTTCCTATGGACACTCTGCATGCTGGATGCAATTTTCGCAGATGCGCCTCTAGTGGCTGTCCGGAAGACAGCCACTAGAGGTTGGATTAACCCTGCTCTGAAACTGCTATATTTACATCTGAAGGGTTAAAACCTGGGGGACCTGGCACCCAGACCACTTCATTAAGCTGAAGTGGTCTGGGTGACTATAGTGTCCCTTTAAGACAATTCCACAGGCCTGCAGCATGTATATTTCAAATGGTTCGCTCACTAGGCGGCTATCATTATAAAGATTGGGCCACACTCCACTCTCACCTCCAGTTCTGCTACTTTCACTTGTCGCCTGGTTGCACCTTGTGGCTTGGTTGCTATCCCCTCAATCTCCATCATATTGTGTTTTTGTACCCCACCTCCTCCAGACTGTAAGCTCATTTGAGCAAAGTCCTCATCAACCTATTGTTCCTATAACATTTTGTAATTATCTCATTTATTGTTACATTTCTCCCCTTTTATAATATAAATTCCACTACGGAATAAGTTGGCGGTAAATAAATGCCAAAAATAATTATAATAATAATAGTTTCCTTTCGATACACATAAAACCTGCCAGCATGGATACATCAGGGTTATTTTCTAAACTGGCAGTTGTCCGGAACTAAACGACAATTTTATGCTAAGATAGTCAGTTGGAAAAACAATATTTTGTTCCGTTCTACCAGACTGTCTATTAAACGCACTAGTCTTCTGTCCTGCATGTAAGAGTCTGTTCATCAAACAGGAAGTTGTGGTGAGCTGATAAATGACTTGCAAAATGTTGGCAATTTCTAGCTGCAAGACCTATATTTTGCGATTCACTTGGCATCTCATAACGCGCTGTTTAGTGACGAGACCCTTTGTAAGAGAGTTACAACCAGCTTGTCCACATTCCATAATCCTTTTTATATTAAATATTGTCTATTCACACTCACATAGTGCTATTTACTAACATGATAATTCATAGTTAGCTAGGCTTTCAATTTGGCTACTCTGGATTTAAATTTGAAATTCACTTTAAATTCTTGCCTTAGTGAATAACCCTGACAAAATTCTATATTGTTCCTTTTAGATAAATGTAAATATATTAAAAATAAAAAAGAGGTGGTTATACTGTTATGTATTATTTTTGGAGCCTGACAATACATATTTTTATAAAACATAACAGGAACATGATATCGAAACAGCCCACGGAGTTGTCCACGTCACGATGTGTGGGACTCCCAGACAGAACAGACCAGTGATTTTAACTTACCATGACATTGGATTAAACCGTAAGTTTAATGTTCTAACTTGGTTATGTGGCATTCACGTAGGCCTTTTGTTCACATTGATTCGGAACGAATTTATGGTTAAAAATAATGCATGAATGGCTCTGCATGTGATGGATGATGTAGACAGTTAAATAACTCTTTTAGCTCATTTTAACCCCACATGGTGATCGTACAAAATGGTGCGCTGACTAAATGTTTAATAATAAGGAGTTTGCCACATGTTGAAAAACTCTCCAGTTAACATATATTATTAATTAATAATGATTATGGTGCCACTCCTGATTGTGAGTCAAGCTCTTTTTGAGCATTCGGTATGGACTGTTCATATTGCTAATGTGATATGTCCTGGTCTGCCCCAGGATGATGGGAGTCACATGCCAGAAACTAATGAAACTTAGACCTGACATATACTGTGCATTATAGTTTGATGCAGAACAGGATTTGAAAACATGCTGTCTGTCCATTATTTTATGGTGATGACATCATCTGTGCGGTATTCTCTGTAATGCACTCTTTAATTGACATTGTACAGCGCATGTCCCAGTCTGCCTGAGATTAGTGGGAGTAACACTACTGAAAATCAGTTGCTACCTGCAGCTGCTGGCTTTTATAATCCACTCTGCTCCAAATAATTATATTTTGAGAGAAAAAAAGGGGGAAATCAGTGTTAAACAAATGATTTAAAAAAAATCCATCTCCATTTTAAAAACAGCCTAAATGGGCCATCATTTAAAAAATAAAAATAAATTTTAAAATAAAATGGTTACTTATTTATTATCTCCTTAGGGTAAAAGCTGAGGAGACAGTTCTGTTTCCTCAGCTCCTCTGCCAGCACTGTATCTGTTAATGTTTTGTATATTACTGATACATTAAAACATTTCACTATTTGTTTTAATGAGATTCTTTAATTAATTTATCTTTGTTACACAGACAAAACCTGCTTCAATTCTCTCTTTAACTTCGAGGACATGCACGAAATTACCCAGCATTTCTCGGTGTGTCACGTTAATGCCCCCGGGCAGCAGGAGGGAGCGGCTTCGTTTCCAGCTGGGTGAGATACTAATGTATTTACTTTGTATGGTGACTTTCTAGGTTAAGGATCCCTTTATCCCTTTAGCCTGGATAGGAATTATCGGGCATTATGGTTTAGAACTTCTTAGTGACTTCACCAATTAGCCGACAGTAACGTCAATGGCTGAAAGAGAAAAATAAATGTATATTATTAGTTACAGATGTAAAACCTACAGTTTCATACTCTCGAGTTCCAATCTTTAGGCAGTACAATTTAATAAAATTAAAGAGATAACTCTCTAAACGGTATGTCTTACGTGTGCAAAGAATTGTAGATATCCCTGATGTTTTGCTTTGTGGATACCATTGCGGAATTAATTGTAGACCTGCATGTCATCTTGGCACCAGTTATCTTTTGTACATGGCCTGCCAGCTCTGCCGCGTTAACAGTATGGAAGCCATGTTTGGATCCTGTAATGGATTTCTCAATTGTTTTTGTTGCCTGACTTGCCCGTTTCTTTATACAGTTACGTGTATCCTTCAATGGATCAACTGGCTGAAATGCTGCCTGGCGTTGTCCAACAACTTGGGTAAGGAAAATGTATATTTAGTTCCATTTATGTATATAGTAAAATGACAAGAATGTGTTAAATATTTACTCTGATCTGGCCACTATGTGACATTACAGTTATCTTATCATATAACCTGACTGGAGTTAGCATTGTCATAGCTTCCCACTCTGTATAGGGTGATACACCTTAAACAGGGGCATCAAGCTGTGCTCCTCCATAGAAATTATTGGACTACAGATTCCATGATTTCTCCCAGCCAATGGAAGACTAAGAATTATGTGAAAATTTAAATCAGTTCTATTTTAGATGCAAGCCCAGTAGCTGTTGCAAAACAGTTAGTGTTATCCAGGTAACCGTAATTTAATAAACGCTGCATAGTTAATGTAAACATACCTGATCTGTAGAAGGAGCAATGGGCCTGGTACTGCCACACCAGCTCATAATGAAAATGTTCCATCACTCCACACTTATATGTAAAGTAATAATTTATTTGTGTTTAAAGGAACACTATAGTGTTAGAAATACAAAGCTATATTCCTAACACTATAGGAACCCTTTGGCCCCCTCCCTCGTGACCCCTTGTCACTGGTGATGTAAAGGGTTAAAAAATAACTTTTGTCATTTTCTTGATTCCCTCGGTGCTGGGTCGGGTTCCTCCTCCTCCGCCAACGTCAGTCGATGGGGGCGACTAATGCACATTTAAAGTGCTCCTTAGGCCTTCCCCATCGGAAAGCATTGATTCATATGTGGTTTTTCAGCCCACTGGACCCCTTTAGGCACTCTGGGTGCCTATAGGGTCCCTTTAACTAATACAACGTTTCAACCAATACCATCTTTGCCAACGAAGAACAAGAGATTTATGCAGCCCTGCAGTAGAGTTTTGGGCCTGCGTTTTCATGGACCAAGCGATGCTAAGAGGAATAAGGACATTTTCTAAAACGATTTCTGTTTAGATCATTGTAAAAAGGAATATTTTTTCAAATTCTCACTAAACGCGTCACATTTTATATTTTGCAGGTTGAGGTCAGTACTTGGAATGGGAATCGGAGCTGGAGCTTATGTTCTCACCAGATTTGCTGTAAGTGTCTAAAGGCTTTGTTATTTTCAGATGTACCCTCCAGGTGATAACTATCAGTGAAACAACTTGAGAAACATAATGTCAGATATTTACCAAGTTACACACTCAAACAGGTGGAACACGACCGCTAATAATCCTGTACTGGAATCCTGCCGTGTTTAGCATGTGTCGCAAACATTGATACTTACAGCAAAAAGTTTATAGTTGATTAAGACAGATTCACAAAGTTAAGACTACCCGTTATCACCTGTACTTATAGTCTGCAACAGAGGCGTAACTAGAAACCACGGGGTCCCGGTGAAAAAATTGCCCTGGGCCCCCCCCTATATGTCTACCCCAAACCCCATACATCTCCACCTCCCATAAATCTACCCCCACCCCATATGTCCCTGCCCACCCACATCCACACCCCCCACACACATGCAGCCAAACAGATACACACACAGACACACACACAACGACACACATACATGTAGATACATACAGACAAACAAACACACACATACATACACATACACACAGACACATACATACATACAAACACACATATACACAAACACACACATACAGACATTCTCTATCACAGACACACAAACTGTTAAAAAAATGTAGTGAATTACCTGGGGTCCAGTGGCTGCCTCATGCTGATGGGAGTCAGAGCTCCCACTCTGACTCCCTCCTCTCCTCCTGCGTGGCGCTCTGTTGGCTGGGAGGAAGTGACAGCTGACATTAGCAATGAATTTCCTGGGGCCCAGTTAGCGCTGCGGCGCTTTAAGAGCGCGACTGGCCCCCAGGAAATTCATTGCCATCAGGTGGCCCCAAGAGATTTTCCACGCGGTCGGGGCCACACCAAAAGGCTGGCAGGCTCCCCGGTCCCAGGGGTCAACATGGCGACTGGGCCCCCTGGAATGACGGGCCCGGTCGCAGCTGCAACCCGTGCGTTTGCGGTAGTTCCGCCAATGGTCTACAAGTGGCAGAGAATGCTTTTTGTACTTTAACGACACAATGGTCCCACAGTGGTCCTCACTTCATTAGAAATATGATTTAGTATTTTCTGAATTACCTGCTCCAATGTAAACCGTAGTTTAACACTCCCATTCCATGCCACTATAGAGGGCAAACAGAAAAGAGTTCTGTGACAATATTTAGTGTTCTTCACCACTTCCAATTCATACTCTCAGTAAAGAAGAGTATAGAAAGAAAAATACTCTTGGGAAGGTTGGGAATCCTCGTACTGGTTACTGCTGCCCAATAACACCCATTACTATCATTACTATAGTGAGCGCCTAATTCCTTTTCTTACATCAAAGTAAAGAAGAATGATGTAAGAATGACTGATGACTTCCCAACGGTTAGAGGGTCTTCATGATCTTTACTCATTCTGTTTGTACCAGAAACCTCCTCTCTGGGTTTCTGAGATATCCTTTTTGGTTTTCTTGTTTAACTCTCCGTTTGATTAATGTATCATTTACCTGTAACGGGAATCACTATCAACACATCTAGTCCATATTTTGCCTGGTGCATTATCACTAGTGTTTTGTCTTTTTTATTCAAGACCCTTTGTTTTATTATAGACATTACATATTAATAGAGGATACATAATGGTGAACTGGGCATTATGGGTAAATAATGCCACTGAGCGGTTTTGGAGAAACCTTAATAAAACCATAATTCTGAAGGTTGGGTAAAATCCCTCACTGGCATTATTTTCATTACATATCTTTTATATTACATTATATTTTAGAATAGGTTTTTTGTGTAAACTGGGCCAGCCTCATGCGTGTGAGACCTCAAACAGAGCATATACAGAGAGGGGGTCTGCTGCACTACCTGACACAAATTAAAGTCTCCTAACTTCATGGAAGTGATTAATGCCTCCCGTTTATAATGGGAATCAATAACACTTCGGGCACCATAAAAATTTCATAGGAATTAATCCGGTGCCAGGTACTTCCTGAAGTGGTCCTCACTTTCACAATGAAGTTGTTATGGTGCCTGGAGGTTCCCTTTCATAAAATAGGTTTACATGGCACTCCATATAGTTTCTAAGGTCTTGAAATCCACACACAAAATACCCAAATTTTGTTGTTTGGACTGAAATAGCATCATGTAATTTATTTTACCAGTACATATTTTTTAAACACATGTATTTTTGTGTCCCAGCTGAATCACCCTAGCATGGTAGAAGGACTGGTGCTGATTAACATTAACCCCTGTGCTGAAGGCTGGATGGACTGGGCTGCAACCAAGGTAAATTGAGGTTCTGCACCTCGCATTTGGCTAGTGAACCATTTGTGTGTCGGTTTTTAAGAAAGATAAAGTCTAATTCCACTGCACCCGATACACATATTTTGGTCCCAGATGTCTCTCAAACAGATCACAACTAATATGTTTCACTGAAAAGGATTTAAGGTTATGGTGATTAGCTTATGGTAGGGTGGTTATGCTTAGAAACATAGAATAACTTCACATTTTCTTAGTTTAGTGATCTGATCAGTAAAAGTAAATATGTGTCTCCAGTGTGTCTCCATGAGCGTAATCGTTGCCCACACGTGTATATATATATATATATAAATCAGAGTAACTTACAGCTTTTGAATGATATCATTAATTTTATTTTATTTTTAGATTTCTGGATGGGCCCACGCCTTGCCTGACATGGTGATATCTCATCTTTTTTCAAAGGTAACAATTTCTGAAATAATCTAAAAACACCTTCGATAACAGAACACTTCTCAGCTCATTTTATTTACCTTCGCTATAATAGCAATACACTATTTACACAGTGCTATGATTGCATTACAATGACAAAATGACAAGGAACGAGGACAAAATGACAAGGAATGAGGACAAAATGACACTATTATGTAAGTTAGACACCTTTCTCAACACAAAATATGACCAAATGATTCAAGCTCTTTGTTAGAAATCGTCCATTATGCACAATTCGCAGTTTTTTGCTGTTGATTTTTTTTTAAATTAATGGAGAGTTACAACATAATTCACAAAATTAAATTAAACAATAAAAAGTTATTTCTCTGGCACATATAGTTTTCAGTCTGATACTTACAGTGAGGGGAAAAAGGTATTTGATCCCCTACTGATTTTGAATGATTTTGACAAAGAAATGATCAGTCTATAATTTTAAAGGTAGGTGTATTTATTTATTTATTTTTTAATTCTTTATTGTATTTGTGCATAGATTAAACAGGCAGGTTTGCACTGCCACAACAGCTGGTGAAAACAGATAATCAAACATTATATAACAGTTGTATGACATCGATAACATTACACGTTTGTTTTTTTAAATGTATGAGCAATAGAGGCTACTGCATAATCATACATTGTCATTTGCACAATTTATAAGGTACATTAAACTAGAGTGTCCGGCTATCCAGACATGTCTGTTAGGTTAGAGGTAAACGTATCGTAAGTATGCAGGATTATGTAGACGTGGAGGGAAGTGAGGCATAATATAAACCATGCTTATAAAACAATAGAAACAAAATTGTTGTGATGCCACTGGATATGAAAATAAAAGAAAGACACAAGAATCTCTGCGTTGAAAAGCTAACATGACGTTGTATTAAGAAAAGTGAGAACCATTAAAAGAACGGTGAGTGAAACAGCCTGTGTCATGGATCATATGACAGAAGTCCCTGCATTGCTGATAAGGCTTTTTCTAAGGGTGTAACAGGTTTTTTTTTTAGCCTCGTGTTTGGCAGGTATAGTAGCGGCGTGGGATTGCTTATATATACAGTCCCAAAATTCTTGGCAGAGTTTCTCAAAGCGCGCATCAAATTGTTCCTTCCAGGTCAGGGATGTTGTGTACTCTTGTTGTCGTGTATGCTGTGGGACGGCGGCCATGTAGTTGTCTGCTTGTGTGAGATTTTGCTGTTGCTGGGATGTGGGTTTCCCTAGTGGGGACCGGGTTATGCCCCACTCGTCCAGGTGGGGGGAGGTTGCGGGGCTTCAGGATGTACTGTGTCAGTGGCCAGCTAGATCGGCGGCTTCCCCAGGTCACCAGGCCGCATGACATGCTAGGCCTCATAGTCGTCCTCCGTGAACTGTGCACCAATGAGTCAGAGCTATTGCAAAGCACATCTGGCCATCTTGGCTGTCAATCCTTCCCCTCCCCCCCCCTCCCCCCACCATGGTAGGTGTATTTTAACAGTGAGAGACAGAATAAAAAAATAAAACCACAATCCAGAAAAACACATTCCAAAAAAGTTATAAATTGATTTGCATGTCAATGAGTGATATAAGTATTTGATCCCCTATCAATCAGCAAGATTTTTGGCTCTCAGGCTTCTTTTATATAGATAATGAGCTGAGATTAGGAGCTCTCTCTGTCCACAGAAGCAATCAATCAGATTCCAAACTCTCCACCATGGCGAAGACCAAAGAGCTGTCCAAGGATGTCAGGGGCAAGATTGTAGACCTACACAAGGCAAGATTGTAGACCTACACAAGACCATCGCCAAGCAGCTTGGTGAGAAGGTGACAACAGTTGATGCAATTATTCGCAAATGGAAGAAACACAAAATAACTATCTCGGTCTGGTGCTCCATGCAAGATCTCACCTCGTGGAGTTTCAATGATCATGAGGAATCAGCCCAAAACGACACAAAAGGATCTTGTTAATGATTTCAAAAAAGCTGGGACCATAGTCACCAAGAAAACAATTGGTAACACACTAAGCTGGGAAATCCTCTGAAATCCTGCAGAGCCCTGCTCAAGAAAGCACATGTAGAGGCCCGTCTGATATTTGCCAATGAACATCTGAATGATTCAGAGGAGAACTGTGTGAAAGTGTTGTGGTTTGGAGGAGGAGGAATGCTGCCTATGACCCCAAGAACACCATCTCCACCGTCAAACATGGAGGTGGAAACATTATGCGTTGGGGGTGTTTTTCTGCTAAGGGGACAGGACAACTGCACCACATCAAAGGGACGATGGACGGGGCCATGTACCGTCAAATCTTGGCTGAGAACCTCCTTCCCTCAGCCAGGGCATTGAAAATGGGTTGTGGATGGGTATTCCAGTATGACAATGACCCAAAACACACAGCCAAGGCAACAAAGGAGTGGCTCAAGAAGAAGCACATTAAGGTCCTGGAGTGGCCTAGCCAGCCTCCAGACCTTAATCCCATAAATAATCTGTGGAGAGGGCTGAAGGTTCGAGTTGCCAAACATCAGCCTCAAAACCTTAATGACTTGGAGAGGATCTGCAAAGAGGAGTGGGACAAAATCCCTTCTGAGGTGTGTGAAAATCTGGTGGCCAACTACACGAAACGTCTGACCTCTGTGATTGCCAAAAAGCATTTTGCAACCAAGTACTAAGTCAAAGGGGTCGAATACTTATCACACTCATTGACATGCAAATCAATTTATAACTTTTTTGACATGGGTTTTTCTGGATTTTTTTTTTTGTTATTCTGTCTCTCAAAATACACCTGCCATTAAAATTATAGACTGATCATTTCTTTGTCAGTGGGCAAACGCTCAAAATCAAATACTTGTTTCCCTCACTGTATTATTGGAGCTGTTATAAGTAAAATTATTGTGTTATCTCTGTAGCCAAGCAGATTGTATATTGACCTACTTTCAGATATTCATAGCTGCATTTGGCAGACAGAGTAACTATGTATTCGTATCTGTGCTGTAATCGTTTAAGCTAAAACTCTCTCTTTCTTCCAATATAGGATGAGATTCACGATAACCACGACTTGGTTCACACCTACAGACAGCACATTATCAACGATATCAACCAGAATAACTTACAGCTCTTTGTCAAATCTTACATCAGGTAATACTGACAATATTGTGATCAATTATTGACTCAGTGGGAAATGTACAACATGTATACAGTCTGTTACTAAATTCCATTCTTTGACCTTTTACTCTATTGCCCTCTGGAGTCCAGGTGATCACGGACTTTCTGATGTGTATATTTATTTCAAAATCAGACACATTCACACTAGACGTACAAAAGATTGTAGATATTATAAAAACAGCATCAAAACTATTTACAAAAAATTACTTCTAAATAGCCCAGATTCGGAGAATGTTTGTGAATCTGTTCGGTGTTTGCGCAATTAATAAACCTGACACGTCAAATATAGCCATGGTAAGTCTAGACCTCTCACCAAATCCCTTGCCTTATTCAGTCATATCCCAAGCTTTCCATTAGGGGACGTTGCAAGATAAGGATACAGATCCCTAAATATATGTGTTTGCTTTGTGTTTTATAGCCGAAGAGATCTGGAGATTGAAAGACCTATTCCTGGGACCAATGCTGTCACTTTGAAGTACGTCACATATTTTTCTACTTAGTGTTTGTACCATACATGACATGGGAAAAATGTTAGTTGGAAAAATGTTAAAATAATAATAAAAATTGTAATAGTAACAATAATGTGGCCATGCCAATGTATGAAAGACAGTTTAAAAAAAAAAAAAAAGGCACAAAGCCAGTTTTAGCCTTTCCATTGATTAAGACCCCTTTATCTCATATATGCGTCACCCTATATTCATTTGGTGGAAGCCGTACTGGCCCCCTACAATTTGTGGTTAATGCTGCTGCCAGGCAGATCTTTCTCTCCTGTCGCTCCCCTCACACCTCACCCCTCTGTCGATCTTTACACTGGCTTCCTGTGTACAGGTGTCAATTTAAAATACTTACCCTTACCTATAAAGCTCCAATCATCTCTAGACCTTCTTACATTTCTTCACTGATTCATAAGTATTCCCCGTCTCGGTCTCTCCACTCTACTGGTGACCTTCTCCTTTCTGCTGCTCACACCCTTACTGCAAATTCATGCCTGCAAGACTTCTCACGGGCGGCTCCTTTCCTTAAAAACGGCCTGCCTACCCCTGTCCTACTCTTCCCTAGTCTTCAATCCTTAAAAAACCCATATTTTTGGGAATGCTTATGGCCTCCAAGAGTAACTTCTATCTCTCAAACCTTCCTCTCGCTCTCTCCTATCGGGCCACACTCCACTCTCACCTCCAGTTCTGATACTTTCCCACCATGTCTATTTGCTGTCTCTCTCAATACCCTTCCTATTGTGTTTTTATACCCCACCTCCTCTAGACTGTAAGCTCGTTTGAGCAAGGTCCTCAACTACCTATTGTCCCTGTTACATTTTGTTATGGTCTCATTTGGTAAATTCCCCTTTTATTGTAAAGCGCTGTGGAATAAGCTGGTGCTATCTAAATACCAATATTAATAATAATAACCCATGGACCAGTTAAGCCCTGTTGTTTAATTCTGACAACATGACCTTTACACAATTTATTTATAAATAACCCTCACTAAGTAGATATAGGTTAAGTGCAGATAGTCATGTAAAAATACAAGCAATACATTGCAATAATCTCTGTGTCCTCCAGGAAATGACAAAAATAATGTCTAGTAAAAATGGGGACATAGGTCTAGGTTATGAGAGATGTTTTAATAGTTCCTCCTCTTGTGTTCCAGGTGTCCTGCCCTGCTGGTGGTAGGCGATAGTTCACCTGCCGTCGATGCTGTGGTAAGCTGAATTGAGTCCTCATGGAAAATGGCAATTGTTGCTATAAATTAATATTATCAACTGTGCCCTTTAGACTAGTTGACATTGATTGTCATATGCTTGTTATTATATTTGTGAAAAAATACCCCAGAGAATATAATTTGTAATAAAACTAAACAGAATTTTCTTCTAACTGTGTAGGTGGAATGTAATTCAAAACTGGACCCAACCAAGACTACATTGCTGAAGGTAACACTCACTGAATCTTCTTCCGTGTGTTTATAATGACGTACCGTGCTTAGTTCACTGTCAAACAGAAATTCCCCCATTGGATTTTCTTTTTAAATACCCAAACTAAACACCCAACACCTTGCTTACACATCTACATTTTAAATGATAATGCATATGAAGATTGGAGGATTTACATATTGAAAACAGAAAATTGAAGTGTTAAGTACGGGGGAAAAATACTTTGCAAATAGGATATTGTTCTGTTACAATGAGCTGCGAGGATATAGATAATATTACTAATGACTTATGTTTTTCTTCTCAGATGTCAGACTGCGGTGGATTCCCTCAAGTTATCCAGGTAGAGGCTGATACATTTTTGTATTGTTTTGTCATTTTATCTCTTGTGTTTGTCACTGGACTAGACATTGTAGCTATCACCAGAGTATTTGCATTTAGCCCAAGCACCCATTCTGTGCTGTCTTTGGGAAATCCTCAGATAATATCAGGTAATTTTGGCACAATGACATGAAGAATTATTGTGCCATGTTTAGTGTATCACAACTTGTCATTTGAAGACATCCTGAAAATCCACACTGTATGTGCCTTAAAGGACCACTCTAGGCACCCAGACCACTTCAGCTTAATTAAGTGGTCTAGGTGCAAGGTCACTCTAGGGTTAACCCTTTTTTTAATAAACATAGCAGTTTCAGAGAAACTGCTATGTTTATAATAGGGTGAATCCAGCCTCCAAAGCCTCTAGTGGCTGTCTCACTGACAGCCGCTAGAGGCGTTTGCGTGCTTCTCACTGTGAAAATCACAGTGAGAAGATGCCAGCGTCCATTGGAAAGCATTGTAAATGCTTTCCTATGAGACCGGCTGAATGCGCGCGCAGCTCCTGCCGCGCATGCGCATCCAGCCGAAGAGGAGGATCGGAGGCAGAGAGGAGGAGGAAAGCTCCCCGTCTGGCGCTGAAGAAAGAGGTAAGTTTAACCCCTTCCTCTCCCCAAAGCCCGGCAGGAGGGGTACCCTGAAGGTGGGGACACCCTCAGGGCACTATAGTGCCAGGAAAACGAGTATGTTTTCCTGGCACTATAGTGGTCCTTTAAGGAATTACATAGAGAGAAATTAGGGGCGATGCATAGTGCAGACTACTAAAAGTTAATACTTTTTTTAAAATCTAACTTGGGTTTTAAAACTTTGTTTAGACCACATTAGCTGATTGAGCTATCACATTGAGTCATCGAAGAAGAACCGAATGGCTCTCTCCCTATTCTCTTATACTTAAGCGTTGATTATTTTGTGAAACAAAAATATATAAAGCGTACATACTAAAGTGAGAGAATAGTTCCAAAATTCAAGTTTAAAAAAGGCAGATCTAAACTCAAAATATATATATGTCCCTTTACTTAAAGACAACTTAACAATCACTAACAAAATAATGTTTTACATTTCAGCCTGCAAAACTAGCCGAAGCCTTTAAATACTTTGTTCAAGGAATGGGATACAGTAAGTATATACAACCATATGCAATATTGTTCTCTTTTCTTTTAAGCTGATGAACATTATCTATAAGCCAATTACAAGAACACTTAAATTATTTTACTGAACAGGTCAAGTCTAGTCTTTATCATGTGAAGAGCTCCCTCTAGCTGACATTATATTTGTGGATTCATTTACTATTGACAAACAAGTTTCACAATGGAGGCAAAAATCATCACTTTTCTAGACTTTAAACAACTGACAACCCCTTAAAGCTGTCAATGAGGCCACACAGAACTCTCAGATCCAGGCGGCCTGTGTTAATGCTTGTCCAAGTTGGACTCACAGAGCCAAGCTGCATATTGTCAGTTTCCGGAGCTGTCCATTCATTTTGTGCGAAGAGTTGAACTGCTCTTGGAGATGAAACACTTATCCCTGCTGTGTATAGGTTAATGGGACAGGAGTCTATCCAGATGTAAGAGGGATCTGCATCAAAGGGAATTTTAAAACTATGAATTTTTTTTTTTTTTTATTCATATTTTTTCCCATTGTTTTTTAGATATTACCCAGTAGTTCACATTAAATATTTATCAATTGATATTAAAGTCCAATTCAGTCCAGGCAGAGACAGGGCAGATGCCAAGCCATACGTAGCCAGAATGTCGATAACTTTATGTTTTCCTATATTTTCCATACTTTCACGTCCATGTTGCTGTAAATCTGAGCTGTCATGTTTCATCCCTAGTGCCCGCTGCGAGCATGACCAGATTAATGAGATCCCGTACAGGATCTGGTGCCAGTGTCTCATCCTTAGATGGCAACAGAAGCAGGTCTCACACGAATGAGGGCTCCAGAAGCCGTTCACACACCGGAGAGGGCGCCCGGAGCAGGTCTCAGACAGGAGACGGAAATCGCAGCCGTTCCCACACTGACACCAAAATGGACGTCAACAACCCAGTCAACCCTGACCTCAACAATGCAAAATCTATGGAGGTTTCGTGCTAAGATGGATTACGTACCAAACAATACATGCCTGCCAACTGTACAGATTAAAAAAACCAAAAACAATAAAAAACAAAAAAATAAATTAAAAAAAATGTAACCCTTTTCACTGCCAGGGCCCTTCTGTCAGCCAATGGGTTAAATGGGATGTCAGCTCTGTGAACAAGAGCTATCTTTGGACCAAAGAGAACGAGAGTTAGCCATTTTAGTGCCAGTGAGGCATGCAAACACTGCGGTGCCTTTCTGGCGCATAAAATGTCAAAACCTTGTGAGAAAGCTTTAACCATTAGTTAACCAATAGCTGCTACTAGCTCAGCTTATGGAAACAAATATGCCTGGGATGTATGTATTAAACCCAGCACATCGACCTCTCCATGTCTAACAAGTAGGATGAGAGACAGGCCAGTGTATGAACAGTTCTAGAATACATTTTGGCTGATACCAAAGGAGGCAGAGTAGCTTGCTCATAAACCCAATGGGCATTCATGATTTAGAATGAATTGAGGAGCGGTGTGTCTAAATACCATCCGAGGAGGAGGAGGTCCGATAATGTTCTGTTAGAACCTGTGGGCATATCCCACATATTCCCAGGTATGTAAATAAATGAAAGGAGATAGTCAAAGCAAGAAATTAACAAGCAACTAAACATCTCACTGTGTCTGTTGTAGGCATCTAATGTCGTCCTCATTCATTCTGGCCTCTATCTCAGTGGCCTCACAGTTTTTTTGTGAATTTTGAACGTGTCTATCTCACCACTAAATTTTAATATTGAAAGAAAATAAGAGGAAGCAACAAGCTGGAGCATTTTGTAAATATATAATTGAAAGAGAGAATATTTATAAATGTGTTGTGCATTAAAAAAAATATCTATTTTAATAGTTTGTATAAACTAGAGAAAATAGCTTCTTCAATGAGCTGCTGATGGGTGGCATTCTTTTTGTACGTACAATTATATTTCTGATTTTATTAAACCCTGAAAAAAACAAACAAACAAAAAAATATATTATTGATAGTATTAAGATGTGATAAAGGAATGCTCAAAGTACCAAAACCTCCACATTTTGTCGCAAAGGTCATGGCTCAAGGAATCTACGGGTCCACTCCTGCTAGTTATCGTCATATTACTGTTCAGGGGGATTTGACAAAGAATGGAGGTTTTCCTGCACTCATAGTCCATCCCATAGACTTCTTGCACCATCACAATTATATAAATAATAGTGACTACGGTCCTTTGAGTGTCCCTTTAACTGTTTAGTATAAGCAAACAAAGCAATCTTATTGTATTGTGGCAGGTTGTTAAAATCTGTGTGGATAATATTGTGAATATCATCAATGGGATACCACTATCTTGGTAATTGTGATCACAGAGAAAAAAAATATTAAAATGCGTTAACGGCAAATAAAAAGGAGGGCTATTGTTTATTTGTTAACATGGACTAAACTACCATATAATATGTATTAATTCTTGGTGCTTATAATGAATAAATTTTTAATTATTTCTTGGTTGTTTATTGGAGCGAATGAAAAAAAAATCACAAATTTTAAATATAATTATTTTCTGGTTTGTATTCAGAGGGAGTTATGGAAAAAGGGTTTTGGGATCTTTTACGTGGGGAGGGTTATAGAGTGTTTATCATATCTGTGAATGTCACAAAAAACATCTCATTTGTTCAGATGATAAAGGGGGTGTACTATATTGTTTTGTTTCTATTTTTAAAGATATGTTTCATTTTATTTTGATAATATTAAACCATGTATGGCTTGATTTCAGATATGTAAGACTTTCCTCTTTATTGGTCTACGATTTCCAGTATTCGAATTCTGTTTCCAAAAAATTTTCAAGCAGAAAAACTGTGATTTGTTTAGAGTTTCATTATGTTGAAGAAGCTCATTTTATATGTCAAATGGGATAATTGTATTTATTAAAGAAAAATAAATGTGTAACTTTGCACTGTGTTGTCATATTATTGATTTCTTAACAATATTGAAGAAATAAAGGCTTTGATCCCTACCTTGTTGGTTCAATGTCAGAGGAACAATCACAGTGTTAATATTTTGTGCCATGTATTTGGAAAGATAATAACACACATTACATAAGAACACAACTAATGCTTGGATGAAGAAGACTAAAGAAAGGATAAATATAATCTGGATCTTTGAAGTCTGATAAAAAAAAATGATGTTCACTGGTTACATGATTTGTGCATGTTTAATTAGGTCTTCCATTGGTTTTGTTTAATTTTTTTTATGATGATGGAGAATTAGACTGATATGACAACTAGTGATGAAACAAATTGACATCTAACTCGATGGTCTTAATTTAATAAGCTTTTCAAATGTTTCCAATCCGTTAGAAAATCTTTCTGAATAATTTGGCTAAAGACATTCGCATAGACTTTATTGGTTATTTATAGATAAATCATTAAAAAAGTTTTCATAACAGATTGGAATAATTTGGAAAGCTTATTAAATTGAGGCCTTTGTGAGATGTTACCAAGCGTCCATTATTCCCCGGGAGACGTACCAAGCTAGCTGTGCACATCATTTTCACAAATGGTTTCTAAGAGGATGAAACTTTGTATCAAATTTAATTTATTATGTTGAACTTTTGTGCTCACAGAGATTATTTTATCATGGTATAGCCAACAGAACAGGCCTCCAGAACATCCACATATGATCACTGACAACAAAGAAATGCTTTATTGTTCCTGTTGAAACCACCTTGAGGAGATCCTAACAACGTGCATGGTCTGGTTTGAGAAGTTTACCAAACGAACACGGACCGCACTCGCCCATAAACGTGGCAACTGGTGTTATCCGAACAGGAGTAGTCCCCACCTCCTTCAATCACAGTAAAGTCCAAGAATATCTGGTCACACAGTCGCTGTTTATTGGAACAGAATGCACAAAGAAAGAAAGAATTTTGAATGTGTCTATCTCACCACCATATTTTAATATTCAAAGGAAATAAGGGGAAGCAAAATGCTGGCGCATTCTGTAAATATATCATTGAAAGAGAGAATATTTATGAATGGGTTGTGCATAAAAAAAACATATCTTTATAGTTTGTATAAACTAGAGAAAATAGCTTCTTCAATGAGCTGCCGATGAGTGTCATCCTTTTTGTACGTACAAATATATTTCAGATTTTTTTAAACCCTAAAAAAAAACTAAAGATATTATTGATAGGATTAAGATGCATAGTGTGATAGAGGAATGCATCAAAGCATCAAAACTATTACAGTTTATCGCCGAATTTATCGTTCAAGGAATCTACGGGTGCACTCCTGCTAGTCTTCATCAAATCACTGTTCAGGAGGATTTTACAAAGAAGGGCGGTTTTCATGCACGCAGAATACATCCTTTCTCTTTGTGACACGATAATGAAACAGGTTGTTCTTTTAATTATTCATTCAAAATATTTGTTTGTCTAGACTGTAGGAATCAGATAAGCCGAATCACATGTTAATATCATTCAACATTTGGAGGTCTGTAATCGAAACGTGTGTGCGGTTCTTCTATGGGGCATTACCAGTGATTCAACTTGCATCATAGGCGACACCCACAATGGGCAAGACTATCTTAGAAGTGGGCTAACCCACACATTGAACATAAACGTTTCAACTGCGCCATGAGTTAGCTTGACAAAAGACCTCATGGTGAGGTCGAGACATTATCTGTACAATTTGTTCCAATAAACACAACTTTTTTTTCAGCTACTGTGTGCCCAGATGTACTTGGACTTCACTTTGAGATGTTTGTCTCATTGTTTAGTTGTATACAATACATGTTGTATAGTTGTGTGTAATATAGTTCTATGATGTTATCTCTAATTGCAAGTTGGAAGTGTTATGGAGGAATTTCAGCTTCATTATCATATGATTGTCTTCCTATTAGAACTGTCGAGAGCAGTAGTTTGCTGCTAAACTAAGGATGGCCGTGCCCTTGCCATATTCCTCTGCTCTGTAATTGTAAACTGAGTTTTCCAGTACAAGGCTAAATAGGATCCTGAGATGAGGCACCTGTAAATTTTTACTGTACTTATTGGCCCCCAGCAGCACCCCATTTAAGCATGTTCAGGTGAGTGCAGCCAGACCCTTGTTTTCCCATATATATATTTACGAGTCTAGCCAGCTCCTTGGTTTTGCACCCCTGCCTGTCACAGGTGCCTCATCTTAGGAACCTATTTAGCCTTGTACTGCAGAGATCTCGAGATGGAAGGATTTCCCCAAGTGAGGAGCTCATTTAGTAGACAGTTGGTTGGTAGTGTAGGACCTGCCAAAGATGGGATACATTGACGTTGTGGCAGGCTTATGCAATGTATGATCATATAATGTAACTAAACCCCCATTGCCTAGATCAGGTGTTTTTAATAAAACTAGCAAAATCTATCAGCACCAAAGTAGCTGTTCAGTAGATAAGGGAGTGCGCTGGATTTTCATTTTTATTATAACAGACAATGTCATGTAGTCATTTTATTATTATTATAGACAACAAAAACAATAAACTGATGTTGCAGAACATACATCAATATTTTAAGACAGTATCTAATTGGGCTCTGTGAGGTGCAAGTACTAGAATTGATGTGTATCCCTATAATCTAAATCATATAATCTTGTGGCTCATTACTGGGATGTAAGATCCAGGTGGCCAACTCTGCTGGTCAGTTGATAAGTTCTTGGAACATTGTTAAAGAGTTTTGAGATAAAGACTTTGGGAATAAAAGACCACAAAGCACAAGAAATTGTGATGCAAGTTTAATAAGCTTAATAAACTGTGTTTTCATTCATCAAAAATACAGATATTCTTCAATAGATAAGCAGATCCTTAATTTGGTCTGAAAAGTACTAATTTACATGTCAAAACGTTGCTTTTATTTACTTACAAATATAACTTACAAAAATAACTCTGGATTGTCACATAAATATATACATAGGAAATAACATTTCAAAATATCCAATTCTGAGCATGTCACTTAATTCTGTAAATACAAATTTCACCAAATTGTTGGGTTATACGAAGCATTATTTAAATAATTGTAACGTAATGTTTGCCAAATGTAGAGAAAATTGTCCATACATGAATATGATTGTTATTATACACAAGTCAAAGTCAAGCATGCAAAAAAACCAACAACAAAAATACTACATTGTTGTTCAAAGTCCCGTTTAGCATAATATTAACTTTATACCATCAGCTTCCACTGAGCCCATAATAAACCTTCCCTGTTGGAAAAGTTGTAGGTGTTTATCTTCACCAGAAATACATATTAAGAGATGTGATGAAGTGCCCTTCGCCACTTGTGCCTTCAGGGGACTACTGGCTAGCTTCCTGCCTTCCGACTATGGCCCCTGTGCTGATAGCTGTATTTCCCCCTGCAGAAAGGTTTATTTGTGTGTTTCTGCCGGGGCGCTCGAGACTTTCAGTATGTGAGTAGTGCTACCCCAGATAGCTATGCCATGGAACCCATTCGTTTAACGAAAGACTGTGGAAAAGACTTTGGCTCCATGGCGATTGAACTGTATGTATGTGATCTGAGCGCCATTCGGTAATAATGTGCACTCAGATCTAAGCTATCTGGGGATATGTTGCATGTATATGTTTTATGTTGTAATTGTAACATTGTGTAATTTTATGTCTTTTTGTAACCATGTAGTTAATGGAGTCTTGCCTCTGTCCTGGGAGATAAATTGATTACTTCCCAATTATCTCCAGGATAGAGAGGAGGGATTGTGATGTCACTGTGGGAGTGTTTTGTTTGTATTGTCTGTGATTGGCCAATATCCAATATGTGTCCCATTGTTCCATCAGGTCCCCTAGGGGAGTGTCCACCTGGTGGACACTTGCATAAATACTGGGCAGGTAGCCCTCAATAAACCAGACCTACTTGCACCTTTCTTGAAGCCTTGTCCCATGCTTGTGGGAAGGGATACCTACACTCTGGGGATTGCTATAATCACTTACTCCCCAGAGTAAGCTCTTATAAGAGCTTTATTTGTTCCTGCTACGCTCTCTGGATTTAGGAGAGGTTCACCCATTGGGAGCTGGATCTTGGTCGTAGATCCAGGGTGGGTGAGAGACGGCGAGACCCCGGCGCAGCTGCATCACTGGAAGTGGGGTCCGCAGTGCTGATGGTGTCGGTTGGAGTGCTCGGAGTGCTCAGCAAGTGCTAGGAGCATCGATTGGCGGAGGTACTCAGTCGGAGTGCCAACGGTCCGTCACAACAGAAATGCCAGGAATTAATAACCAACTACGTACATGCAGCACATGTAGTACACGCAGAACCGTATGGAGTGTAGCCAGGGTGACATGCCTGTGTCTTAGATTCCTATTATAGACATTTTAAGTGTAATGTACTTAATGCACTATAACCAATGCAATAGAAAAAATATATATTTTCTTTTTTATTATATAATTATTTCTTTCTGTATATTTGTTACAGTAATTTTCTTCTGAAATTGATTAAGAACATACGCATCAACAATGATGGCTTTAAATGAGGGGATACGTCAAGTTAACTAAACAATGAGTTGGGTAGGTAAGCTTGCAACCACACTTGAAACATGTAAGCTTAAATAGCCTAAAAAAACTCAATTTCTGCTGAAATTTAAATATATATTTTTAGTGCTTATCTTGCAAATTATTTGACAAACCAAACTGTTTAGTGGATAATCCCTATTAGCAGGGGATCATCTACTTTTACTTTTCTCAAATGAGCACTCAGCGAACAGCAAACCTCTTCCGTTAAGAACATAATTTATTGAACTGTTGAAAAACATCTTCCTTAATGGCTCCTGTGGGATTGAATTTAGGTTGTGTTACGGAACCTCTTACGCCAAGAACCAGAAAACTTGGCCAGACATCACATGCAAACTTATCCCTCGAGTAATCTTGTGAATTAGAGCTTCATTTTCTTTATCCCATTATTTGGCCGTATACACGGTATATCATTTTACTAAACACTTGTGAATTCATGGAGATTTTTCTCAGTTAAATCCATTTATTTTAATTTGCTAATGTACAGGCTCTCTGATACAGAAAAGGAGTTGTTTTTCTTTTTAAATTTCACCCAGGAATCGTCTACTGATGATGTGTTCTGAGGCACTATTTATGCTCTAAAAGAGTTTACACCAGATTTCTAATGCAGATCGTTGTTTTGGACAAATATTGGCCAACATTTTTGCAGACCTACTAAAAAAAAAAAAAAATGAAAAAAAAAATCACAGATACTTTTTCTCTCTTAAGAACATGAGAATATTTTTAAATTTTATGATGTGAAATTGAATTGTTGAATGAGTCTTGTAGGAAATGGAAGCTTTTCAGACTCAATGGTTCAACACAATTTGATGCATAATTTATGCGTATTATTCCATTTCTCTAAATATTTCACCCACATAAATCCTAAAATTAGAGTAATTGCTGAATTTTGGTTGGATGCGTGTAATTGCCTAAACCCTTTTCTTTCATCATGCATTTGCTACGTGCACAGTTGTTTAAATAAAATATACTTTATTGGCATTCATACAGATATTTACATAGAGTTGGAACATAGAAATAGCTGATTTGATAAGCGCAGCAGCAGCAATGCCAAGCACCTTACAAACTGTTGCAGTAACAGTTTCCATAGCGTTAATGTGCCTTTCATCTTTCTAAGGTCAATAAAATGATTAACATTGAATTGAGTAATAAAAAAGATCTATGCTGTAGGACCTTAGGACTTAAATTGGAGGTTTAGAACATGCATTCTTTATGTTAAACTGCAAATTATGTCCCTGAAATATTTTAATAGTCATAATATTTTACATTTACTTTTAGCTTCACAACAGATCATACTACGGAAAGGGTTAATCCAACTCAAGCAGTCCAGGATAGGTTGTTTTACCGTTAATATTTTCTTTTTTTTTAATAATTTTTTTATTGCTTTTATTTATTGGTATAAGACAATCCTGAGCAGAGATATTTAGGTTTATGTAAACATATGTATAATCAAAAATTGCCATGACACAAAGATGGATGCCATTGTTAAGCCGAGTAAACTTAAAATTAAAACTGGTGGTTTTTACAATACCAATACATAGAGTTAACCAGTCAAAAAAATGGAAAATTAAAAATGGTCAAACAACCTGATTTAGTTAATCTATTACACCACTTGAGATGGACTTACCCAAAAGTGATAACATTAAGGACTTAGAAGTAACTTAATAACGGAGCATATTTTGTCTTTATAGAGATAAACACCCTGAGCAGTTTGGATAAATTCCCCATTTCTGTGAATTTGGTGAGTTCCAAAATGAAGCATTCTGATTGGACAATCTGTTGTTGGCTAAATTATGGTGTAGCTCTTAATACTAATAGGTAAATAATCAGTCTTTAAATTAACATAAAGTAAAGAACACACTGGGGTCTTTTCTTACTCTTCAAAGAAAATTTGAAGAGACATCATGAAACAACATACAAAAACATACAATGGATAAAATGAAGGCTTAGGAAGATAACATAGACATAGAGGAACAAAAACAATTACAAAACAAAACAGGTTTATCCAGTATGAACAGAGCCAAATGCTTAGCTGTTCAAAACACCGGAAATATGTACAAAGATGAGAATTTCTTTGTTTGCAAGCTCTCTTTATCTTATCAAGCCTACACAAGTATAGAGATAAATACATGGAGATACATTTTAATTTCGGCACCTGCCATTGACCGAGTCACTTGGAGATATAGCAACAAAGGAAATCCCATCTGTGGACGGTAAAGTTGAGTTGGATGTTTGGTGGAAGTTTCAGTAAATCTCATTATGTTGCCTTCGTCAGTTGCCAATTTCACTAAAGTTGTGATAACTCTCTAGATCTGCAAAAATATCGTTTGGATTCTTGCAACTTAAATTACAAAAGCAAGCATTAATCCACATCACATTCCAAGAGAATCCGCTTCCATCTGGGCATTCGAACCTAACTTCAATGGTCTTTGATTTGTATGGTGCACAACATCTGTTGTCAGTACAGATCCCACAGTATTTGGGCCGGTAAGAATTCTTGCTTACACAACCAGAAATGGTGAAGTTTTTGGGTTGATCTTCTCTGTATACAGCCAAACATTTTTTACCAGGCTATATGAAATACATACAAATAAAAAGGTAGAGTATTAATAATGAACAATTAAGAAGTTAAATACAATCCTGAAATATTATCACATTTAAATGCTTAAGTGGATTTTACTAAGATATGCTCAGTATTTCCACTGAAACTGATGTGAGGAGCAGGACTGGCTGAGAGATTTTAGTCCCTTCCTGGTCAAAGGATGGAAATCCTTAAGAACGTCAAATTTGCCGATTTGAAAAGATTTTTGGACAAATTAAGTTCCCTATTCCACACTTTCTCTTGAGAGAAGTCAAGTCAACCAAACAGTGCATAGGGAAATTATTCTCCAATGAT